GGGGAGTAAGCGCCCTCCCTGCGGGGTGTGGGTGGGCTGCCCGAGTTATTCTGAGAGCCGGCCGCTCTGAAGTGAAGCCAGCGGTGGGAGTGTCCAGCCTGGCCTTTCCGAAGATAGCTGGGTGGGGTGTCGCTGGCGGCGTTTGAGGCCGGGCCTGGGGAACAGCCGTGCCCTGTGGTTGGCCCAGTACTGTGGAGAGAGCTTGCCTGTCAAGCCATGTGTGACAGAAGTCATGTCTGTGTATCTCCTGCAAGGGTAGAGGGAGGCCACAGCTTTGCTTAATTTTGGAGTCCTTGCCGGGAGGGCTGGGCTCATGGTAAAGAAAACCAGGTTGGCAGCTTGGAGGTGGCAGTATTTAAAAAATAGGAACGGTAGTACTACCGGTAGTAACAGCAGCAGGAAGAGTAACAGTAGTTACTGTTAGTAGTGATACTGATAATACCATCCTGGTAGTAACCGTGATAATGCCAGGAGAGATACAGCAGTAGCCTTGGCCTAGAACCCTGCCTCCACCACTTCCTGGCTGCGTGAGCTTGGACACATCACTTTACATTTCTGGGTCTTCATCTGTAACACGAGACCATCATGGTGCAGCAGATTTCTGTGGACTTCTGTCCCGGGTGAAGGAGGCCCCAGCAACTGGGGCCTGGGAGGCGGGGCTGAAGTTGAGCTCAGTCACAGCAGCTGCCGTGACGACGCTGAGCTTTCCCTGCGCCACGAGCTTTATACACGTGGTCTCAGATGATTGTCACATCAACCAGACCAGGCAGCACTGTTACCTTTCCCAGTTTGCAGAGGAATAAGCTGAGGCTTGGGGGGGGAGGTGAAGGCTCTTGTCTAAGGTCCCACAGTTGCAGGCAGCCTTCGAACCCGCCCTGTCCGACTCTCCAGTGCTCTGAGCTCACACTGCTCTGTCCCGGGCGCCCCCCCATCCCCAGCCCCTGTGTGGAGGTGGTCTTCTCCGGGAGGTGGCTAAGGAGCTGGCTGATGTCATCTTGGAGGGTGGAGAAAGCAAGCAGGCCAGAAGGAGCGGTTGATGAGGCCCACCTCCATCCTCTGGTTAGGGCTGGAATGGGTGTTTAAGTCTCAGTGGGACCCAGAAGTCTTTTGTGCTGTCATGAGGATGGACACAGAGTCCTCACTCTTTTTTAAAAAAGCTTTATTATTATTATTATTATTATTACTACTACTAATCTTGGGCAGAGAGAGAAACACTGATTTGTTGTTTCACTCACTGATGCATTCATTGGTTGCTTCTTGTATGTGCCCTGACTAGGGATCGAACCTGCAACCTTGGCATATTGAGATGATGCTTTATCACTGAGCTAGTCAGCCAGGGCCCAAAGTCTTCACTCTTGCCTCAAGTTCAAGGGGCCTAAATCATCCAGAGCTGCCTCCTCATTTGCTTGGCTCTTTAAGAGGGTTCCATGATAAACAGAGCTAGTTTTGAGAGGATAATGCTTCAAGTGAGGTTCTAAAACTGCACTTTAATGTGGCCTCAAGTGGCCAAAAGCCAGGAATAACATGTAGGAAAGGTTAGAGGCGTGGTCAAAGCTGTGGGTCTCCAAGGGGGTCAGAGGTGGACAGAGCATCTCAGCGAGGACTTGAACCTACGGCTTCCTGGCTGTGCCGTCTGGGGCAATTCATCACACCTCTCTGAGCCTGTTTTTCCACCCATCCATCCACCCTCCCATCCACACACCCATGCATCTCTCTACCCACCCCTCATCCGTGTACCCATCTGTTTACCCACCCACCCATCCATCCATCTGTCCATCCAGCCAGCTTCTCCCTAAGCATTCACGAAGCCCCTAGTAAGTTGAGAACTGTACCAGTGGCCGGGATGTCTAATTCAGACATTGGCATTAAACCACCTTACACAGTCACCAACAGAAGACTAAATGACAGACCACCACACACAGAATACTGAGTAGCCGTTCATGACAACGAGGCAGGTGTGTAGGAGCTGATAACAAAGAAATATGCTCAAGTGGAGAATGAAAAGATGCAGAAGTGTGAGAAGTGCACTACCATTTGTGTAAAATAAAAAAGGGTCTGTTTCTATACATACATACCTGGCTATGCCTAGAACATTTTTGGAAGGGCACTTAAGCGCGCATCAGAGATCACCTTTGAGGAAGGAATTAGTAGGGGCGGGTTGGAAACAAACCGCGCTGTTCTGTTTCAGGCTGTTTGCATTTTTTATAAAAAATATTGCATTATCTGTTTAAAATTGGAAAAATAATTTATGTATGAAAGAGAAGGCTCTGTCCCTGGGTCATGAGTGGTGTAGGAAGAGAAGAAAACGGCAAATTATCACGCCTTCCATGATACATGTGTAATTAGGGAGGTACGGCGGAGGTCGGGGAGCACTGAGGGGCACCTAGCTCAGCCTGGTGGAATCAGGGCAGGCTTCCTAGAGGAGGTGCTGCCTGAGAGAGGCTCTCAGGCCCAGTGGAGGTGAAGGAAAGATGCTCGGTGAGGGCATTCCCAGCAGCAGGAACAGCGTGAGGTCTGCAGTTACCGTTCAGTGTGGCTGGAACAAAGCGTGTGATGTGGTAGGAGGTTTGGAATTTGTCCAAAGGGCAACAGCAAGTCATGGGTGGGTTTTAAGAAGAGGAGTGAGAGGGTCAGAGTTTTGCTTGGAAAGACCCCTCTGGCAGCCACGTGGGGAGTGGTCCCAGCAGTGAGACAGGAGGCAGGCAGGCTGATGGGGAGGCCCGGGGAGAGGGGATGGAGACCTAGAGTAAGGCAGATGCTGGGCGGTGGTGGGTGGGGCAGAGAGGAAGCAGGATTCAAGAGCTCTTTGGAGGTGGGAAGTGACACGTTCTCACAAGTGTAAGCATCCTTCAGAATAATTTTAGCAAACTGCTTTGCCAAGTGCACAGCGCTTCATGGTGGTTCCCACCCATGAGCACACATTGGAGACTCCTGGGGCGCTTCAAAAGAACACCAGTGCCCCGGCCACGCCCCCACGGCACTGATGATATCGGACTCCACGATGGCTCAGATGCATAGCCCTGGCAAGGGCCGCGCTGTGTGGTGGTGGGTTGGCCGAATGGACGAACCGGGCTCATCCTGTTGGTTCACCTTCTTCACACACATGGTCAGGGCGCGGGCGAGCCTCTGACGCGCAGTCAGAACCCGGTGGCACGTTCTGCCCGAGGGGAACCAAGCGGGAGAAGTGTGGGCTTTGGGGCCACCCAGCTCAAGTGAGCTGGCTTGAGTCAGTTGACCTCTTGAGCCAAGTATCCTTGTCTGAAACTGACCTCAGTGGGTTGTTATGAGAACGAGCGGGGTCACAGGTGTCAGGGCCCCGCACAGAGCAAGGGTGACTGGTGGACCTGTCAAGATCCCAGAGGAAGAGTTGGAGACCCACTTGGAGACCGAGTAAACCTTAGGCTTCAGCTATCGAAGGGCGCACAACGCCCTCGTGTGGTGGAAACTAGATTTGCCTAGGAACAGGAGCGCTTTAACGTCAATTTGAAAAACCGCTCATTTCTTTTCGCTGCACCACGACATAGTTTGAGGTTCGGGCTATTCTGGTGATACTGTTTTGGTGGTTTACACGAGAAAGTGGCATCTGATGTGTACAGTTCAGCTTCAACGCTTCAACTCTCAGAGGGCGTTAACCAGGACAAAAACATCTCATTTAAGAAATCCTAAAAAAATGTGGTGGGGAATTGTAGGGTTGTCACCTATAATATAGAAGGGAGAGACCAGCAGCCTGGAGGGACCCTGAATTAAACAGTAGGCATGCCACACACGGGACAACGTGGTGCGGCTCACCGGCGGCTGTAATCTGAGATTCTCCTAAAGGTCTGTGCAGGCTGCAGGCGGCACGGAGCTTGCTTTGAAGTTCCGTGCCCCGCCCCCCCCAACCCAGAGGACTTCAAAACAAAGCAAAACAAAACAAAACAACAAAACAAAACAACAACAAAAAACAGCCTGGCTGGTTTTGTTGCTCAGTGGATTGAGCATGGGCTGTGAACCAAAGGGTCACCAAGTTTGATTCCCAGTCCAGGCACATGCCTGGGTTGCAGGCCAGGTCCCCAGTGGGGACCACAAGAGGCAACCACACACTGATGTTCTCTCCCTCTTTCTCCCTCTCTTCCCCTCTCTCTAAAAATAAATAAAATCTTTAAAATATATATATTAAGTATATATATACACACACACACACACACATATACATATTTTAAAAGAGGTGTATTTAAGAGAAGAGGCAGCTAGCTTATTCCTGAGCAAAAAAGCCACCATCAGAAAAGACACCTCTTAACGTGGAAGAGTTGAAGGAGACTTGAGACTGCTCTCTAGAATTTCAACGTCAAGTTTTCATGAGAAAATCAGGTGGGCTTTTGGTTGCATGACTGGGTGCCCCAGAAGGCTCCAGCCTGCCCAGCCCACAGGGTGGGGGGATGGGTAAGGGACAGTGATCAGCACCGTTTTCTCTCGCTTGAGCCGTGGAGCCGAGTTTCCAGCTTGCTGAGCACACCCACACTGCTCAGAAAGAGCGAACCAGCTGATGGTGTGCCCCCCCCCCCCCCCCCCAGGGCAGAGGAGCAGGCAGAGGGGCTCCTCCTCGGTGGCTGGCTGAGCTGCGACGGAAAGTCGCCTGCCTTGACCCACGGCACCGTCCTGAGGCTGGAATTCTGTATCTCCACTCACTCCCTGGCAGCTCGAAACTGTGTTTGGTCCCCACCTTTCAGGCATCGTCCAAGTCCAAGCCGGCACTCATCAGATTTCAGGACTTCGAAAACTAGTGAGGTTACAGAAAGAATCTTCCGCTTTCCCTCTGAGTTGTCAGTCTATTACTAGTTTGCCAAGAGCAAACAAAAGCGACGGCCATCTCCTCGTCCCCTAAAATGGGACATCTGGCTTTGTACAAGTCTCCATACATAGCCTCCCGCTCCCCGCCGTGTGCTCAGGGGTGTGTGCGGCCATGGCCCACATTCGGGATCCCCAGGGGCTGTGGGGTGTGGTATCCAAGAGACACGGCCTTGCAGAGGGAAACACATTCTTTTATTTATTATATATATGCAGATCTGTTTTATGTACAATACTCAGCTCTGTCAAATAATCACACCAAGGCATTCTGTTGGTAACCTTCCCCAAATAGATTCGGGTAAAACACACCTCTGAGCACTTCATGGACAAGCAAAACTTGAGACTTCGCTACCAATGGCAGTTTTTGAGACCATATACACACAGTTCCAAATAAACATAAACCAGACTAAGGCGACAAAAGGGGCTGAAAGAAAGCACAGGATTCCAAACAGTTAAACGGTGTATTTTGCTGTGTTACAGCCACACGTGAACAGCAAGGCTGCGGCAGGGCGCAGCTCTGCCCTGGGAGCGCTACGGCGGCTGCGCGGCGGTGGGCAAGCAGCGGTGGGCAAGCGGCTGAAGCGAAGCGTCCTGCGGGCAGCTCTGCCACGGGGGGGCTCATTTGCCCTCTGCCTCCCCTTTCTTGGGTTCTTGTTTCAGTTTGTAGTCCGCCAGGGCGGCCTTGATCGCGTCTTCCGCCAGCACTGGAAGGAAGAAAGGACAGCCAGCCTCAGTTTCTAGACCGAGAGAACAAGTCTTGGGAATAGAACTTCAGGCGGGTGGGGGGGGCACTGGGCAGGGCTCAGCCGCCCCTCCCGGAGTGCGGGGGATGGGGCAGGCCTGGAGACGGCAGTTTGAGCCAGACCCCCACCCGCACCCCCGTGGCCATGGAGAAGGAGCGGGGGCTAAGTCCCCAGGGTTCCAGGGTAGTTCCTGAGTCTCTCCGGATCTACTTTCTCTTCTGTGAAAACGGACAACTGTGCTTTCCTCGCTGGGTCTGTGTGAGGACGCGCATAGTGTGGCTGGCACACAGTAGGCACACAACAAATGTTAGTTCCCACAGGGAAGACTGGAGTAGATGTAGGACATGCTGGTTAAGCTGGCTGACGTAACCTAGGTCACGTCACTCTCCAGTGACCCTACATTTGAACACTTGTGTGGGAGCAAGGCTGTGGGGGAAACTCCAAGTCCGGGGGCTGGAGTGACGGCCCAAGGCCAGGCAACAGCGGACAGCCTGAGCTCAGGGTCCGGTGCCCGAGAAGGCCGATGAGAAGGCTGCGTTCTGTCTGAAGCAGTGTGAAGACGTCTGCAAGCTACGCCCTGTGTTCACGGGCACAAGAAACTCCAGCTCAAGCGGAAAGAACCCGGGACGGAGCAGACTCCTTGAAGACCGCGATAGCCTGTCCCTGTCCGGGCACACGGTTCTCCCATGAGCCCTCCCCGAGCCAGAGGCCTGGCTCTGGCTGCCTTGTAACTCATCTGGTCAGTAAACCTCCATCAACCTGCTGAGGCTCTGGGACGCACTCAGCCAGAGGCTGGCACAACCGCCACCCGCAAGCTCCCCAACAGGCGGTGGAAGACCAGGGCTCTGGCTGGAGCCCTCTGGAGGTTAGAGGGACAGAGCCCTGCCTACAGAGGATTTGTCATCACTTCGCCACCAAAGCGAGATGACTCCAGTACACACACATACTCCCGCCCCCCCCAAGAGGGTGGACTCACTGGAGCAGTGCAACTTCACTGGTGGGAGGCACAGCTCCTTGGCAATGTCTGTGTTCTTGATGGTCAAGGCTTCCTCCACCTGAGAGGCGCGTGGGGAAGAGAAGCGGTTAGCGGTGCTCCGACCGGAGGGACAGATGACAGAAAGGGAAGGCCCTCAGGGGATGGTTTCTACTAATAACTCCCAACACAGGTGGAGGACCTTCTCGGGACCCCCACTGGTGTGTCAAGACTGCAGGGGCGGTGTCTCGGGTGGGAGGTGTACACAGCTGTGTGGCCTGGCTGGGCTCGGCAGGGCCTCTGTGAGCCAAGAAGAGACCCTGTGAGAAGTCTCTTCGGAATCAAATTTGCGGGGGCCCCCCACTTCCTGCGCTGGTTTTGTGAGTATCAGCTTCTCCGATGTCCTTATACCAAACGCTTAGAATGAGCCCCTTCAACTAGCAGTGCTGATGGCACTGGGAGGTCGCAGAGGGTTGGACAGGCTGCTGTCCAGCGCGGGACAGTGGCACAGGCAGGTCCGGGCCGAGCGCTCCCCGTAGACTCCTCCTCTGCCGACCCAGGGAAGAAGGTGCCAGGGTGTGGCTGGGCCCAAGGGCACAAGCAGAGGCAGGCGGCTCCTCGCCCTTGGGGAACAGGGGCCGCCAGCTTAAGAAAAGCCGGATTTCCCCATCCTTCTGTTCCCCTAATCTGCCAGTTCTGCTAACTCCACTGAATTACCACTTCAGTTCTGTTTCTGGAAACTCAGATGGGAGGATCTCAAGGTCAAAGGCCATCTTCCTCCACTTTCTGATTGCAATTCAAAGGCCCCTTGCGGCCAGCTCCTGGGAGCACAGGTGCCCTGTCTCCTTTTCGCCCCTTTCCCTGCAGACAGCTGATGACAGCGCACTGCAGAGCCACCTCCCACTAGAACAGGTCAGGCGCGTGCCGCTTGGGCCCAAAGGAGCTCGCCAGCCAGCAGGCCCCGAGCCGCAGGAAGCAGGTGGCAGGTGGCAAGGCAAACCGCTCCGCTGCAGAGCTGCCCAGTGCCGCCCGCACTCTTCTGCATGACTCAGCTTCCCACATTTGCGTCCTCAGGGCTACAAGGATGAGCAGCCTGCAGTGGGGCTTTTCTGAGAGGGTTGAATGATGACTAGAGTGGAGAAAGCACAATTCTTCACTGGGCTCGGGGGCCTTTACTCCCGCAGCTGCTGGGGAGACAGGCTTTGGCAGAGAAAAGGATGGAGATGTTCCCGCCTTTCTCCGCCCTCCGAGGGCCTGCGACTGGCCACCTGCATCACTGTTCGCATGTCCGTGTTCACTCTGCCCCACCCGCTGCGTGTTCTGGGTCCTGCAGGCCCTCTCTCGCACAGGCCAATTTCTCATTTCAAGAATCCTTAAAAGCTACCTGCAATCCTTCCCGAACACACGAGAGAAAACAAACCACCACACAGCAGCCCCTGACCCCACCGAGATTCCTAAGAAGTTGTACCACCAGCAACCTTGGAGAAGGCCAGATTCCTTCTAAGCCTATTGTGTTAGATGGAGAGGTTGAGGGTCTTTTTAATATTTAATTAGAAACAAAACACCATGGAAATCCCCAAATGAAAACGATGATAAATTTAGTTTAGCGTCCCCCAAACTAAAAACCATTAATAAAACTATTCACTGTTCCCGAGGCGGAGAAGAATTTAATAAAAATCTGGGTAGGGGAAAGGAAAAATCATGGTTACTTTTCTCCCCCCACCCATCAGGCCCTCCCCATAACTGAGCACCGTGTTGGTGGAGCACGTGATTTAGTGCTGCCGGATTTGCGGGCACCTTACCGTCTTCCCTTTTACCCACTCGGTGGCCAGCGAGCTGGAGGCGATTGCAGAACCGCAGCCAAACGTCTTAAACCTGGCGTCCACGATCTTCCCCTTCTCATCCACTTGAATCTAGCAAAGACAGGAGGTGGGCCAGTCGCAGAGGTCTGCCGGGGCTCTCCCGGGGAGCTCTGCTCTGGCTTTCCCTGCTTTAAGTTTTGGCATTAACTACTGAATTTGCTTTGAAGAGCTCAGTGACAGAATGTTAAACACAGGAATGATTATAGAATTATATAGGCCTAGCTGGTAAAGAACAGCTGAAAAACATGCCCCCTTCACAGTTTTGTAACTGTAGCCTGCTTATGCCTGTGAAGTTCTCAGGGCTGCTATGTCAACCCACCTCTGAAGACACTGGGCGAGTCACACTCAAGGGCTCTGGTGAATGCCGTTCTCTCTGTCACCATTAGTGGCTCCGCCCCCCTGGTTTCTGTTTTCTAAGATAGGCTCAGAGACTCTGGCAAGTCACCACCCACCATGAAGGAGACAAAGCCTGGGTTTACCCAAAGTGCCAGTCACTACCTTCCTGTTGTCTTCAGTTTGGGGGGGGGGGGTTTGATTTATTGGATTTCTTCTCTTGCTGGGGATTGCTAGCTCAATGGTTTTCCTTCTGTCAGTGAAATTCACAGAACCTTTTATGTAACTGACACTGGAATTTAAGCTGATTCAGCAGGTGGAACAGAATGATCAGTTTAGTGCATCAGAAAGGGTCAGCGTAGTGTGCCAGCAGACTATAACACTGACTCATCCCTGTTCACCAGCATCAAGGTGGAGAACAAATGAAATGGTCTGTAAACCGCATAGGCACACAGAGTACCAGTTACCACCAACGATGAAAACCAGTTGTACCTGTAATTTCATTACATCACCACATGCTGGAGCCCCCACCAATCCGGTTCCAACATTCTTAGCGGTCTTGTCAAGAGACCCCACATTTCTGGGATTTTCGTAATGATCAACCACCTGAAATGAGAGTGTTAGGAGAAATCACATCACTCCTTTTTGGCGCCGACTTGATGGTGAGCGCAAGGTCAGCAATACGGGGCTTGGCGAACAGTCACTGAATACCAGAGCTCACCTCTTGCCAGCGAGAACCGCCTGTGACCCAAAGACTTTTTGCCTCTCCTCTCCAACTACCTTGAGATTTGTGATGCTGGAGGAAATCATGTTTTAGGTCCAAAGGGTTTTTAACTACATGTAATTATTTGACCTTTACCCACCTAAATTGCCAGATTTGGGCTCAAATGACACTTTTGTTTTTCCAGATATAACTGTTCTCAAAGGATAATTTTTACTCAAAAATCCTAAAAGCAACTATGGCCCATAAATTGAAGGCTTTTCCAGAAGCCTCAAGGAGACTGTTACAGAGGAACAATGCTATTAAAGTGTAGAATTCTGTCTGATGATAAACTCCGTTCTGTCACTATCTCAGGGCCCTGAAATTGCCTCGGCTAAGCAGCGCACCCTGGTGGTTAGAAGGCTACCAGCCCAAATTGATTCAGCGTGCACTGTAAACAAAACACACCCCTGGGTGGGGGAGGAGCAAAGGCCTTGGAGAGGAACTGAAGCCCAAACAGAATGTCTATTCAAACTGGCACATACAAGGCTCTACTAGCCTTGAGGTTTTTAATCAATTAGCCGTAAGTATACCGATCGTCCAGTCCCTCTTCCCCCACCGACGCGGCACGGACGTTGACTTCAGGCCCACGGACCTACAAGATAACAACCAATCGGGATTTTTTGCCCCATGTTGATTTACTGCATGCTTTAGTTAGTTGTTTTCCGAGTGCTAGAATCTCCTAAGGGACTTTAAGCCCCCGCAAAGCAAGGGCTGCAAATTACACGCCTACCCCTATCCCCCGCCCCCAAACAAAACGTGAAAATGAAAACAGGACTGTTGGCTACGCATCTGACTCCACTTGGAGGCTATGATGAGCTTCTACAACAGCGGCATCATAAATGGTCTCCATGGGCTAGGCACGAGTGTCTCGTGTAGGGGGCTACTAAGCTATCCATTTTACAAATGGGGAAACAAGTTCAGCGAAGGGCAGAGTCTTTCCCAAGGTCACTTGGCTAGGGCAGCGGCATGGCTGAAGCCGGAGCCCGCCCGGGTGTGTGTGTCTTCCAGGAGTAGGGCTGGCAGGTCCTAACGGGACCTTCCTTCCTGGGCTGTTCAGGTGTTTAAAGACTGGGATGCACGACGCCAGCCAACGGCAGGGCCCGCGGGTAGTTTTTGTTTCCTGCGTGATTAGTGTCACTGCGCAGCGAGGGAAGTTGAGACAGATTTATGCGAGGGTGCGGCCTCTCTATCCTTAGCCGGGGGCCGCTGTTACCCTGGATGATGGCAGGGGCTCCCCAAGCGGTGCAGAATCCCGTGGCCACTCCTCTCTAGAATGGGCCTCCGTCCAGAGCCGGCACGCACAAGTCCCCTCGGCGACCCTAGTACTCCCGGCCCCCGATCGCTGTGGATCCCGCGCACCCCCATGCCCACCCCTACCTTCTTGTGATACAGCCGTGCCGGCGCTGATAGCTCCCGGGCCGGCAAGCGCGGTCTCTGGAGCAACAGGGCAGACGCCGCCCGCCTTAGACGGCCGGCTCCAGCCGCCGCCATCTTGCGGCCTTGCGCCTGCGCAGGCGGAAAGCGAGCTCAAGGGGCGGGGCGCACCTGCGCGCGCCCTCTAGGACTTCACCGCGATTTCCGACCAGCGTCCTCCCGCTCTGTGCTTGTGTTGGCGTTCGGCCACGCCCCTCGGGGGGAAGGCGGGGTGTAGGGCGGGAAAGTCTGAAGTCGCTGGCGGCCTCGTCCTCGGTGCTGGGGTCTGGATGTACGAGGATCGCTGGAGTGCGGGACCCAAGTTTACGTCCACAAAGCTCACTGCTGGAATACAGCGCGGAGGGTTAACCAGCCCACCTTTCTTAAACCCAGTTTGAAGACATTCAGGTTCAGAATAGTTTAGTAACGTCCACGGTTGCTCAGAAAGTTAAGTTCATTTGGGATTCAGATTTGGGCAATACTGAGTTAGAATCCTGGTTTTGCACCTTCCAGGTCGTGTGACGCTAGGAAAATGAAATCAGCTCCCTAAGCCTCGGTCTTTTGTTAAGACGTAATTCAAGGACAATTCATTCATGGGCATGTGTATGTTGAGTGCCAACTATGAGTCAATGAGCCATACTAGGCCTTGGGGATCCAACGGAAAGAAAAACAGGCATAATTTCTGCCTCAGCAAGCTTGCTCGTGAAGGAGAAAGGGAACAAATAAATACACCTATAGTTTCATACCTCAAAATGGGAAGATTAAAGAGGAATGAGCACCATGTGATTTAGAAACATTTTTTTCTAAATAACAGTAAACTCAATTTCGTTGACAATACCTGGCAATTGCAAGTTTCTAGTTAAATGCTTAGTGATGTAATTTATTATATTGGTTTGCAGAATACAAGCTTATACAACGAGAAAACTCACAAGTGTATTTAACGCCTGCCAGGCACCAGGCAAAATATAAAAGGGAGAATTCTCTTTGGGAATTGGGTTTTTCACACGAATGGTGCAATAGATTCCCGAGGACTTGGAGTTTTCTCTGCGTTTGAGGGTTACTTGCTGGGAACACTTGAACCACACTCCAAGTCAGACTAGGCGACAAGTAAGGAATCTATTCTCACAATCATTTTGACCTTCTCAAAATGGCGCCAAATCCTTAACTACAGTCATCACGCTCCCTCCGCGACTTCCTCTAATGGCCCCCACTTCCTGTCCGAAGACCCCACGCCATCCGAAGTTGAAACGGAACAGATGCCGTATTAGTGAGTCTTTCTTTTTCTCACGAAAGCTTCTACAAAAGTAATGAAAATAAAATAAATTGCGAATACTTAGATACTTCCCCAACATCTGAGGCTCAGCTTTTCCTTTCCGGCGGCAAGGGAGCGAGATTTCGGTCAGGCGCGCGCCGCGGGCAGCTTGTACCCCAGCGGGTCCTCGGCGACGGAGCGAAAACCCGGGAGTCACTAGCGCAAGATGGCGACGGCAGCCGCAACCTCGGCTTCAGAACCCGAGGCCGAGCCCAAGGTGGGGCCGGAGGTTGAGGGCGAGGAGGATGAGGTTAAGGCGACGAGGACCAGAAGAAAGGTGTTATCGCGGGCGGTGGCCGCTGCGACGTACAAGACGATGGGGCCAGCGTGGGACCAGCAGGAGGAAGGCATGAGTGAGAGCGACGGAGACGAAGAGTACCCCACGGCTTCCTCCGCGAGCTCCCCTGGCGAGTACGAGTGGGAGTACGACGAAGAGGAGGAGAAGAACCAGCTGGAGATCGAGCGGCTGGAGGAGCAGGTGCGCCCGGGGGCGGGGAACGGACGCTTCCCCTCAGGTCCCCTGGCCCTCCTCCGCTGTCTGAGTGGTATTGCAGCGGGCTCTCCGAGCCGCTATTAATCACGGTACCGCCCATCCCTGGGCGTAACGCCCTTCACTGCTTGTCTGGGGCTTGGCCGGCGTCATCCCCAGGAATCCTCGCAGCGGCTCGGAGAGGCGGTAGTGTAGTCCCCGAGAAGGGTGCTTGCTTGCTCAAGGTTAATACTTCCTGTAAGTGGGGGAGTTAGGCTTTGAACTTGGGGGCCGGTTTCACAACTCCCATCCCTGACCACTCGTTCGCCTGTGCCCAGCAGCTTCGACGAAATTCTCGTAGTGTGGTAGGAAGCACTGTGGATCTCGAGGATGATACTGGAAATGGAAAAGTAAAGATTTCAGCGTTCCCCTGTAGATGTTCCACGCCTGCGTGTGCCTGGGAGGATTTCACTTCTATTGAGTTTCTGCTTCCTCGTCTGTAAATTGGGAGCAACAGTCCCTCCACCACGTAATTGTCCTAACAGCAGTTAATTGTCACTTAGTTGTAGGTGATTTCACGTCCGTTAATTCCTGTGTAATCCAGGGTCCCAGCAGGAAAGGGTGACACTTTCAAATGAGGGTGATTTGAGAAAAGGTGATTGGAGGCATTGCTGTGTTTATTGAAGGGTTGGGCAGGGAAGTCAGGGGGGAAAGGTTGGTGTCCCAGGGCTAGTCACAGCGGGACCTGTGCTCACCCTAAGGCCTGGAGGGGTGAGGGGTGTGACTGGTTTTTCAAAAGGTTGTGTGGCTAGGGTGCCCAAAAGGAGCTGGAGACCTTGGGTCAAAGGGTGCGGCCCCTGTTTCCTGTCAGGAAGTGGGGAGAAGTACCTTGACCTCTCTTCCTCCTCTGCCTGTCTCCAAACCTCTGCTGATGCCTTCTCTTGGGCAGACCCTGCTGGGAGCAAGAGAACCAGAGACCCCATCTATAGGATCCACATAGCAGGGCAGAGAGGAGGGTGCAGGGGGTTTGGAGGGACAAATAGATGGAGCACGTTCATTGTCACTGACAGCCAAGAGAGCAGGTTCAGAACAAATGATAACCTTGGAGTCGTTCATAAGAGGATTTGAACTTTGTCAGGCTGTGGATCAGATGCTGAACTGGATGTGAAATTATTCACCTAGATCACTCAGCCTTGCTGGGTGGAGGAGTCCTTGTAATGTCGTCTCTGGCAGTGGTGTTTTTGTTCCATTGTGAAATGGTGATCTCCTCCAGTCAGGGATACCTGACTATTTAGTCGGGGGCACAGAGCGCTGTTCCCTTATTGTCAAATAAAATAACATCAGCCAACGCAACAATTCATATTGCCGGTGTCAATGAATGAAAATAATACCTTTTTTTTTTTTTTGGTCAGATTGGCAAAATATACTCATGCATTTTCTGGTGTGCTGCAGATTCTGATCTCAGTGGTTCATGTGTGCAATGAGATGAAAAAGGCTGAAAATCGCTGGTATAGCTTGTCCCACTTACTGCATCTGCGTGTCAAAGGGACCAGTTCGGGTGGGCAGGTGGTTGCCATTTCTGCTGTCTATAAATTAGATGCCCGTGTTCAGTCAGTCTCTTTTTCATTCAGCAAATGCACTGCGAGGCTGGGTGCCAGGCTGGCTGTGTCCCTGTGGACTTCTAAAGCCTTGAGCCTCTCAAGGAGCCACTGGACTGACTTGGATCTTACTGGTCGGGGAGGAGGATTATTTTAGTGGAAGGGGAGGCTTGGAAGCAGAGAGGTGGAGGGGTGGCGGAGGGTGCCCCGCTGATGGAGAGGAGGGAGAGTCAGCGTGGAGGTCGCTGGGGCACTGGTGCTCTGTAGTTAGTTGCTGCCCTGCCCCAGGCCACTGGGGGTGAGATGCGGCTCAGAAGGTGACCATGAAGGATGGGGTCTGGCTTTATCTATCCTCTTTGTCCTGGGGTCTAGAAATGGACTTTTCCAGACCGCCCCCTCTCCTCATTCTAATCCCACAGCCTCCAGTTGCTGCTGTAACTGCTCTTAGGGTAGAGCATAAGGTTGAACAGCCCCAGAGAGGCCTGTGAAAGACTCAGGTGGCACGTATGCCATTTCCAGTTCTCGTCCCTCCATGTATTTTACGAAAGCCCTCAGTTAGCTGTGGTACCTGTCCACGTTACAAAGGCAGAGCGAGTTCCTGTTATCTGTGTTCTTCCTGAGGCTGAAAGTGGCACAGTGTGGTTTCTCACAGTCGCCTCGGCTCCGGGGCCTGCGCTGTTGGTCCCGGCTGGTAAAACGAGGGTTGCTACAGCGCCTCCTCCACAGGGCTGTTGTGGACCTTGGGGACACCATGTGTGTGAAGCTGCTGGCAGAGTTGGCACATAGTAGGTGCCGTGCGAAGGCCTGTTCCTCTCTCCTTTCCCTGCCTTGCCCCTGGTGGCCGCATGTGGCCTTTCACAGGCTCTATGACTTCACCCCATTCCAGGTCCAGGTCGGGCTGTTGGGTTTGGGGACTCGGCAGGTCGCTTTGTGCACTTGGCCTTGCTGCCTCTTTGAAGCGCCCTTTGTTACTGACCTGAGACCATACAGACCAGCAAGTGGGCCTGCTCACCTGTCAGCGCCGACTGAGCTCTGTGGAAATGTCCCTTTTAGATGCAGCAGCAATGCCTTTAATGTGCACACTTTCAGAGCACTGCCCGGGTATATGATCTTCGTTGTTTTGGCCTAAAAATCAGAAATGTAGACCAAAAGTTGTCTTACAGCCAGTTCCTCTACTTCAGTGACTTTTATCCCTTCCGACCTACGCGTGCGTGGTGTTCCGGTGAGGGGCACTTGCAGAGATGCTCCTTGCACTCACTGGTGAGCACCCTCCCACCCCCTTCACACCTAGAAAACAGGTTCAGACCCAGGTGAGTGCGAGGTGATGGGTGACAGGGAGGACTTAGAGTGTTCTTTAATGAGGAAAGGACTTATTTCAGGAACTTAATTTGACCGTTGTTAGTTGTGCGACACACTTCACAGTCAGTTTTGAAACATGGGTGTGTCATGAGAGCCCATGTGAGAGCCAGAGGTTCACTCCAGCTCTTTCCCGGTGCAAGTGAGGACACTGAGAACTAGTGGAGGTTGGAGCCCTGGCGTCCTGACCTGGCCCAGTCCACTCTCAACACGTCACACAGTCATGGGATGTGTTCAGCTAGTCACGTTTGATGTCACGAGCAGGAGGACCTTGCTGAAAGTCTTAAGGTTTTTAAGAGAATTAATAGGTCATGTTCTTATTTGTGGCTGATTTTTCTTTATCTTTTTGTATGGGAATTGATACATACAAACACAGCCATATCGGTAAATGATAAAGTATGGCAATCAGATGAACACCATGTACTCCCCCCTCCCCCCCGCCCCCGGGTCTGAGAACCTCCATCTGTGCTGTTCAGGTCTGGGCCTCGCTCCCGGTCCACGGCTCCGCTTGCCCCTTCTACTTTGCCCTCCTGAAATCCAGGTGACCACTCTCCCACGGCGGTGTTTCTCTCCCCCCCTCTCTCCTTTCCCCTCTCTCTGAAAAGAAATAAATAAAACCTTTAAATATATATATATATATTTAAAATGTTCTTTTTAGAGAGAGGGGAAGGGGAGAGAAACATGGATGGGTTGCCTGTTGTGCACCCCTAACTGGGGACCCGGCCTGCAACCCAGGGAATGAAACCAGTGCCCTTTCAGTTTGCAGGCCGGCGCTCAATCCACTGAGCCACCATCCCTACTTATAAATATTATTGTTTGGGGTATCAGATACTCCTAAAACTTTGGCCATCACAAACATTTCAGAAACTATAGGGAGAAGGATCATTCATTGTGCTTACCCACCTTCCTGCCATTTCTGCTGTTCCTTCTCACTGACGTTTTTTCTCGAATCATTTTCTTTGTTTGAAGAACAAATTCTGAGTTGCCCTTTTTCTCAGAAGTATGATAGCTTTGTAAGCACTTATTTAATATGTTTGAACTTTCAGTGTGAAAAGTTTCAAATGTACAAATAAATCTTTCCTGTGCCTTTCATTCAGCTTCACCGGATACGAATCTGTTGTTTTTGTTTTTACCACTAGGGATCTTTCTCTTCTTTGTCTTTGGTTTAGTAAGAAGAAAGAACTGTTACCTATTTACCTTGCACGTGCTAAAGCATGTTACTGAGTCATCTTTATCTTCACAAGAGCCTGTGAGTTAGAACGTAGTAGCATCCCATTGTATAGATGAGGGAGTGGGAGGGGGGCTTAGAAAGGTGAGCAACTTGCCCAGGTTGTACTTTGTGTTTATTTGTTTCATTAGAATGTTTCCTGTATTTTAGAGACAACCAGGGGTGTTCTGCCAGGAATCATAAAGACTTGAGGGAACTTTACGGTTGTTTGTTATAAAAAGCCTCTTGCATTGATTTTTTCCTCCTTTCTCCTGAGGGTAGTGTTTTGTTTCCATTTCAGAGGCTGTCTTGGGTAGCATGTTTATTTTGTTTATGAGGGTACGTGCAGTATCATCAGTGATGAACAAAGCGAAGTTATTTCAGTGGTGGCATTTTAAATGTCAACTTCTGTTTCTTTTCCCTCTAGCTTTCCATCAACGTCTATGACTACAACTGCCACGTGGACCTGATCCGGCTGCTCCGGCTGGAAGGCGAGCTCACCAAAGTGCGGATGGCCCGCCAGAAGATGAGCGAGATCTTCCCTCTGACCGAAGGTAGTAACACCGCAGCAGTCAGCGGCCGTGCTGGGCCGCGGGTGCCGCATAGAAAATGCCCAGCGGGTGTGGGACACTGGTGGTCGGGGTCTGGTCTCGTTTGGAGTCGATACCCTTCTGTGTGCTTGGCGCAGCTGGTAAGAACTGAATTTCCGTGAACTGTGCCAGGGTGTAAATGGTGGAGGAGACATTTGCACACTGATGGCTCACAGTAAACCCTGCTTTCCGGGCGCCCCTGGCGAGGGAGGTGGTGACGTGGGAGGTGGTGACGCGGGAGGTGCTGTTGTCTTGCAGAGCTGTGGCTGGAGTGGCTGCACGATGAGATCAGCATGGCCCTGGACGGCCTGGACCGGGAGCACGTGTACGACCTCTTCGAGAGAGCCGTGAAGGACTACATCTGTGAGTCCCCCGTGGGCCCTCTCCGGGGTGTGTGGCGGGGCCGCCCCGCGGGATGCTGCCACCCAGGAAAGAGAACGTCAGTCCAGCACTGAGGAAGATTTGAGTTCAGTTGTTACCATCATCATCAGTAGTTTTCCTTTGAAGGTGTTTGGTTTTAAAACACAGGCAGACCTCATTGTATTGTACTTTGCTGTATTATAGTTCACGGAGACTTTTTTTTTAATACAATTTTAAGGGTTGTGCCAACCCTGTTGAACAAGTCTGTCAGCACCATTTTTTCCAAAAACCTCGGTTAAGCATTTTTGACAATAAATACTTTTAAATTAAGGTATGTACATTGCATTTTTTCTAGACGGTGCTTTTTTATTTAGACGTAACACTTAATAGACTACGGTATAATGTAAACGTAACTGTCACATACACTGGGAAACCATAAACTTCCTGTGACCTGCTTTATTTCGATACTCGCTCTCTCTCGGTCTCTGGAACCGAGACTGCAGTGTCTCGGGTCTGCTCTGCCGGTAGGAGGAGTATCTGCAGTAAGTGGGTGGATGTAATCACACCCAGCCTTTATCCGGCAGGAAAAATTGATGTGCTCCTTCCAGATGACTGAAGATCACCTTTTACACACTTAATTGGTTTTTAGAAGTTTTGGGCAGACTGCAATTAAAAAATATTTTAAAATTTCGGGAAATAATTCCATATTCACAGGAAATTTCAAAAATAGCACAGAGGAGTCCCGGGTACCTACTTTATCCAGTTCCCCCCAACGTCTTATATCACTAGTTCAAGATCAAAACTGGGAGATTGACCTTGGTGCAGTACGTGTGTGTGGTTCTGTGAAATTTTACCCCTGTGCAGATTCCAGGAGCCCCCATGGCATCCGACATACGGAACCCTCCGTGACCGCAGAGAACACCCTGTGTCCTGGCGCTGGTGTTTTACCAGTGCCAGTGAGGCGTAGATTCCTGACCTTCCTCTAAGCGCCTTCACCCTGCCCCGTCGATCGTTAGCTCTCCAAATACCATCCCTACGTACACCGGGGGCCTCATCAGACAGTGCTATGGACAAGTTGTTTAAAAAGCATACAGGGCCCCCCGTTTACTTAAGCCTCCTTCCTCTCCATCCGATTTCCCTCTCTCCACCGTGGCCATTGCCCCTTGAGAGAAGCATCACTTCTCAGATTAGAGACTGCCCCCAGGGAGAGAATTTCTCTTGTACCTTTACCAGCCAAGAAGGTCAGTTTTTTACTTTTTATGATCTAAATAATGAAAATAATAGGTGTCTTGTGAATTTAAAATTACACTGAATGTGCTTTTAAACGCTGTCCCTGTGCCTATGCCCAGATGCCGCTGCCCCTGTGGCCTCTGAGAATCTCTCACGGTTTCACAGGCACGATGTCACATGTTTCTGCTTGTCCTGTTACCCCTTTCTTAACGTCTCCGAGTCACTGCTAACGGCACCCATTCTTTTCCCCATGCATCTCGTGGTCTTCCCCAGGACGTGATGTTTTTGTCTTGTGGTCCTGCTCTTGGCTCCGTGCTGGTGACAGCGCACCTCCCCTCCCACCAGTGGCTTCAGGGCCGCGGGGGGGGGGCGGCACGGGGCAGCCGCGCTCCTTAGATTGTGTCTCACACGTGGTTTTGAACAGGAGCCCGAGGGTCCTTGTGCTGTTTTCAGGAGCTTCAGTCTGTGGAAATGGTGTCACTGGTTTTGAATGTTGAGAAGCCGATTTTGCTTGCTGTATAGGTTTTTTGTTGTTTTTTTAAAATTAATTAATTTTCTACTCCACTTTTTAGTTTTTAACTATTCTTTCTTATATAAAAATGCCAAAGATAGCCTTTCTTTCTGGGAGGCGGCCGAGGCCCAGTAGCAGGACGAGGCCACGCCCTTCGGTTCCTCAGAGGTTTCTGAAGCCCTCGGTCTCGGAGGAGCCTTGTGCAGAGGCTTCAGGCCTGTTTCGGAACCTGGGATCTAGTGACACGTTCTTCTCTTTGTTTCTCAGAGTCATCGTGGACTCTGTGCCCTTGGGTTTTCTGAATTTAAAATACTGTGCATAGTATTTGTCCATCTAGATTGTTTAAATGTTGGGAGGAGCCATGGTGTAATCTATTGAAAATTACCTTCTCTTAGTGGAGGGGCCGTTCATCTGTGAACTTGACTTACCCTCTCACTAAGGCCGTCACCCCAAGAGCTAGCTCTTTTCCGTTGTTAGTTTGCAGCCCATCTGGCAGCTCTTCGTTGGTGAGTGAACACAGAGTAGCTAAAACATGGGCTGAGTTCTTGAAATAAGCCTCCTTCTGTGAAAAAGCAAGTCTCAGGAAAACATGTAGTAAGCCTCAGATTGGCTTCTCTGTCTTTCTAGTGTTTTTGTTTTACAGAGTTAGTGCACAGGCCTGTAGTGACTTTCACGTCTTCGGAAAGTGGGGGCAGATGTGCACAGTAAGAGCTGACGCGTGCTCACAGCCTCGTGCGCTGTCTGGCCTCACAGCTGTGGGAGCGGGTGCGTCAACAGTCGGGGGAGAAGAGACACCAGCCAGGCCTCTTCTGTCGTTGTCGTTTAAACACCGTTAGAAATAGGGGTGCAAAACACAGATTTCTGGTAACAGGATTGGTGCTTTTAATTTTTTTTTTCACTTTGAAAAATTCTAGGCTTTGAAACCTCTCTGAAGATTGATTCAGATTTGTAGCTATTTTCTTTGAAATTTATTACTGGGTTCCCCTAGTTTTAATAAACGAGCTTTACAAACGTGGTCATGTTACATATTTTACTACCTGGCATGTCGTGTTGGGCAGTGAAATCGCAGCAGTTACACCTGGTAGGAGCACTGCTCAGATACACCCTTCTCAGCCTGCAGTGTCAGTGCAGGTAAGTTGGGCTGCTTACTGATAGTGCCCTTATATTTTCACATTAATGAGCACGTTTTTGGTGGGCCCCTTTCTTTTGTTATGCGTCATTTTTGATATTTGGGTATTTCACATTCTGCACTAATAGAACACTTCTCATTTTTAGGTCCAAACATTTGGCTGGAGTACGGTCAGTACTCAGTTGGTGGAATTGGCCAGAAAGGCGGCCTCGAGAAAGTCCGCTCTGTGTTCGAAAGGGCCCTCTCCTCTGTTGGTTTACATGTAACCAAAGGACTGGCCATCTGGGAGGCGTACCGGGAGTTCGAAAGTGCCATTGTGGAAGCCGCCCGGGTGAGTGCCCTGTCCCCCGGGCCAGCGCTTGCCTTTGCCTGGTCGGGGCTGGTTTTGCAAGTGCTCTTAGAAGAGCACAGCTCATGGCATCGGCGTGGCCAGTCCCTCAGTGAGGGGGTGGGCAGCAGGTGGACGAGGTCAGTGTCTTTGTGGGCTACACGGTTTCTTCGACTATACAGCACACGACCCAGTAATTTGTTCCTGATGTTTAAAGATGCCGCTGTTTTAGTTTGTGGTTCCCGGACAAAGTGCAAGAATAACCGTATCACTGCCCCCGCAAATACATTCAGTAGAAACTGAGACATTTGACCCCATCGTGCGTGCATGTTTTAGGCCACAATGTGTGGTATTTTCCCGTCCCTCTCCACTGCGCGAGTGCGCAGAGGGTTATTGCTGATGCGCAGTAAAGCCCTCTGACAGATTGTTATTGTCGCACCAGCCCAGTCCCTGCAGGAAAATTGGCAGTGGTGCCGTTGGTGGCCCTGACGAAGCCGTCCAGGCTGACGCCTTAGGCTGGCGTCTGTGGCTTTCCAGGGTCAGACGTAACCCTGCGCAGACTCCGTTCCGCCATCCTTCTGATGTTCTTGCACTTTCTGGCCACCATACTTTTACTCACGATGTTCCTTCAATGGGGAGTCATTTTTCTTCTCTCGCCACTTGGCGTCGCCTGCAGTTGCATCCCATGTGCCAGCTCCTCCGGGAGTCTCCCCTGACTTCCTCCCTAGCAGGAGAAACCCCTCTGCCCTAAAAACCAGCCGAGAGCAAGCCACACTGCTCTGATCCTGGGGAAGCTTTGCTGATGTGATGGGGCCTCATTGTAGCCATTTGTTACGTTCCTTCTTGTTTTCTCCCCATCATAAACACTGAGTAACAGAAATAACTTCTATTTTTGTACTTCTTGCAGCATTTGACACAGTACTTCTGTTTAAGAGGTCATATTTTTTCTTTTTACTTGGAAATTAACACTGTGTTACACTAATTTTTTGAGGTAGGAAGGACCAGAGTTTGTCATTCACTGTGAATCTGCTTCCGTAGCCCATGGCTGGCTTCCTTTCCCCTTCTGACCGGGAACAAACCTTTGATTCACAGCTGGAGAAGGTGCACAGTCTCTTCCGGCGACAGCTGGCTGTCCCACTCTATGGTAAGAGGCACGGACGCGTCGGGCCCCCCGAGGTTTTTAAGTGCTTCCGGGTGTGTCGCGTAGTTAGGCCTGTCCCGGCAGGCAGATGTGGCTGGCATTCTATCACTGGAGTGTCCCTGTGGACGAGGCCCTTGGTAAAAATGTCTCGTGACTTGTTCATGCTCAGGTGGGTTGTGAGGGTCACCTGACTCCTGGTCAGGAGGTCCCAGTTGTTGGGGGGGGGTCTCTGAAAGGAACAGGGAGGCTGACTCCCTGCCTTTTCTGGGGGACTTCGTAGAATCCGAGTTACATCCTCAGCATTTCCTCTTCCCGGACAGCGTGGGGATTTTACAGGGGCCTGTAGGATTCCACTGTGGGGCTGGTTTGATTCAGGGGCACTGTCAGTCCGAAGTATTCACATCTGAATTTATTGGGGTTTGGGGAAGGATTCTCCTTTTGGGGTGCAAGTATTTTGTCAGGCCAAGCCTTTGAAGTCCTGGAGCTCAAGTGTAAGCAGCTCTGGAAGGGGTGGGCGCTGCCACCTTGTTTGTCCCTTAGGGGTGGTGTGTGCTGTGCCCCCAGAACCTCTGCACAACTTCACTTGAGCCTTGGCATTATTTCTTTTTATTTCATGGTTTATTTGGACTTGATTGAACAAATTATAAAGTGTCTCCAGGTGAAGCCTTGGGTGATATGCAGAAACTGCTGGAGTGGAACTGGCCTGTGGATTTCTTCTAACATACCAGTGTGAGGCCGCATAGTGTAGAGAGGGGGGGAGAAACAGCAGTGTGTGGGTGCCTCTCACATGGCCCCGACTGGGGACCTGGCCTGAAACCCAGGCATGTGTCCTGACTGGGAATTGAACCAGCAACCTTTCAGTTTGCAGGCCGGTGCTCAGTCTACTTAGCCACACCAGCCAGGGCTCATTAACTTGATTGATTGATTAATTAGTTGGTAGGACTGCTTGGGACAGTCCTTTGAGACAGTCTCAGGCCAAGCCTGAGCTCAGTAGAAGGGTTCAGACTTGATCAGTAAGAGCTTCTGTGGCCACAGAGAGAGGGGTGAGTGGCACCCAGTCTCCTGGGCTAGTCTAATTTTGGATTGATAAACCCAATGGCAAGACCCGTGGGCCTGAATCGTCTTTCAACAGATATGGAGGCGACATTTGCAGAGTACGAAGAGTGGTCGGAAGACCCGATACCGGAGTCGGTGGTTCAGAACTACAACAGAGCCCTGCAGCAGCTGGAGCGGTACAAACCCTACGAAGAAGCTCTGGTGAGTGTCGGCTCTCGCAGTCAGTGTCCTTCTAGACTTTTCCCTAGGCGATAGTTGCAAGTAGAACGATGTCTGTAAAACTTGTTTTATTGTGAAATATATAGAGTGTATAATAAGTGTGTTCTCCAGTTGACATACTAATAACAAAGTGAACATCCGTGTACCCACCACCCAGGTTAAGAAATAGAGCATTGCCAGTATCTTAGAAGTCTCCTATGTGCCCCTGTCCGATTGCCTCCTCTTCCCTCTCCCGAGAGGTAATCACTTTCCTCACTTTTGTGATACTCATTCCCGTGCGTTTACAGTTTTACAACCTATGAATATGTCCTTAATCAATAGATTATTTAAGTTTGCTCACTTTTGAACTTGTGTGTAATGGGATCATGCTGTACACTTCCTTACACCATGTCTGGGGTTTCACTCAGTCCACGTTTGAGGTTTTCACCCAGCGGACTGGGGTTCGCTCCTGTCCACTTGTTTTGCTCCGAAGTTGTGTATGACGGTTCATCCGTGTTCTGACTTGGGTTGTCCAGGTTGCACTGAGAGTGGCGTGTCGCTCTGACCACTGACGAGTCTCTCGGTGCACGTGGAGAGAGTTTCTTCCCTAGCTGCACCCCGAGGATCGGGCCCGCTTTCCCGGTCATCGACCTGCAGTCCTGCCCGCAGTGTCTGAGATCTGTCACTGCTTTGGCTCAGTGTGCATGTCGACGTCCTTACATTCGGCCAGTTTGTTGAGTCCAAAACTGGTGTTTTAGTTGGCATTTCCCTGATCACTAAGGAGCATGAACACCTTTTCACATCTGTTGGCCATTCAGATTTTCTTTTTTCGGTAAGTGGCTGTTGAAGTTTTGGACACATTTTCCTTTTGGTTTATCTTTTTATCTAATTGACTTGTGGGGGTCTTGAAACTTAATTCCTCCCTTCGGTTGTATGTACTGTAAAATACTCCCTTCGAGTTAGTGGTTTGTCTTTTAATAATGGCATCTTTTCATGACAGGCCTTAATTTTAACCTTACTGGGTTTATCGTTCTTTTTCTTATGCTTTGTGTTTTTGTTATGCTTAAGAAATCTCTCCATAGTCCAGAGTTATTAATATACTTAGCTCTGTTTTCTTCTGAAAGTTTACATTTTTGTATTTTGAGTTTAGCTCTCTGTTTGCAGTTGGTCGTGGTGTGTGGGGTGAGGCAGGGCCAGTCCCGTTTTCCATGGAGAACCCCTTGTCCAGCCCTGACCCCAATAAGTCCACCTCCCACCCCTATTAGCGGTCCCGCGTCTCTCCAAGATCACACGTGGCTCTGTTTCTGGCCTTTCCAGGCCGTCTCCACTGGCTTATGTGACCCTGTTGTGATGATAATTTTATCAGTGTTCATCTTAGGTAGCATGAGCCCTTTCCTTTCTGTTCCTTTGCCAGAGAGTCTGGGCTTTCTTCAGCTCTTAATGCTTTCATGGAATTTCAAGTCAGCTTCCCAAGGTCTGTGTTGTAAAAAACTGGATTTTTTTATTGTAATTGCTCTGAATCTGTAGATGAGTTTGGGGTAGAATTTACACCTGTTAAATGTCAAACCTCCCAATCTCTGAACATGGCGTAGGCCTGTGCTATTTGAAATGGACTCTGGCCTGGTAGTGTAGTTGGTTGTTCATGTACCAGGGTTGGGGGTTTGGCCCCCCAGTGGGGCACATGTGAGAACCCACCACTGAGGGCGTGAGTAGGTGTGGCAACAAATCGGTGTTGGCCTCGGTGTTGGCCTCTGCCTGCGCCTCTCTTTCCCCTCCCCCCACCCCACTCTCCCTTCCTCTCTCTAAAAATCAGTAAGTAAAATTCATGATAAAAATGAAGTAAAGGTGGCCTTGTATTTCTGTAAAGCTTTATATAATTATAAGTTCACCTGGCTTCTTGAACACATTTTTAGATGTATTTCCACATATTTGATGGTATTGAAAAAGGTATCTTTTTACAGATCTTCCTAGTCGTTCTTGGTATATTAAATGTAGTTTGTTTTTATATATTAATTTTTATCTATCTAACCTGCTAGATTCTTACTAGTATTAGTAATAGTTGGATTTTCTGTGTTGTGTGTTTTCTTTTAACAATAATATTATTTGTAAGTGGTCTTTTATCTTTCTTGATTTTAGAATACTTTCGACTTTATGTACCGTGCCTCGGACTTGGTCTCTTGTGTTCCTCGCCTTTTTGTTTGACCCTCGGGCGGTACTGCTAATGTGTCCTACTGTCCAGCCTTTCCCTCCCACTCTCTTTCCTCTGCTTTCCTTCGTGTGTCCTGGAGTTTTTATCTGGAATCACTTTTCTTTTGCTTGTGGTCCATCCTGTAGAGTCTTCCACACTCGACATTTGCTAGTAAAAGATTTTCTCACTTTTTGTTTGTTTGACAAGGTTTTACTATGTTGCTCTCCCCAAAAGTTAATTCTCAGGGCGTACAATTCTAGACTGACAGCTGTGTTCTCTCAGCAGTTAAGTGTATCGTTCTGTCCTCTGGCTTCTATCATTGCTGTTGAGAAGTCAGCTAACTCTTGTTTCTTTGAAGGGAACTCTTATTTGCTCTCTGGCCGACTTGAACATCTCATTGGTTTGGTTCGATGTCCTGCAGTTTCATTGCAGTGTATCCAGGTGTGGATATCTTTGTATTGATCCTGCGGCGGTTTGTTGGGTTTCCTGGCTTTGTGTTTGGTGTCTCACGCACAGTGAGTAAGAACACAGATGTTGGGAGCCAGGCTGCCTCCAGCTTGAGTTGCAGCTCTGCCACTCGGTAGCTCTCTCGCTGGGGCCAGTACTTAGCTTCCTTGTGTTTCATGTGCCTTCAGTGTCATGGTTATGTTACTGCCTCACGGGATTGTTGTGGGGCTCAACGTCTTCATGTATCTTAAGCCAGCAAAAGCGTAACCTTCACTTGGCTTAACCGCCTTCGCTTAGATTTCGTCTTTAGTATTTCTTGTTTCTTTACCAGTGTGTGAATGATTTTCAAGATGTTCTGTATATTTAACCCACAGTTTTAGTTGTTTTCAGGGGCACCGTGTGTCTGGGTATCTAATTTGTCGTTACTACTGGGAACTGAGGCTCTGAGACATCGTCTTTCTGTGTTCAGGGCACATGTGTGCCCTTGCTGTCCTGAGTGTCTCCCCCTTCTTCGCACGTAAATGATGTGTGTGTAGTTGTGCTTCACGAAGGCTCATCAGCGGCATCCTTGGCCAGTTCAGTTTTGGTTTGATTATCAGCAGAACGTGGCTCAGAAGAAAACAAGTTGACTAAGGGTTTTGTTGAAAAAGGCTTTTGGTGGTGTGTCTTCAGATCCATCAGCATTCAGCAAAGCCTCTTCCCTCTTCTGCTTGTGCCTGCGCTCCGGCAGGAGCTGGTGCTCGGAATGGAGCGGTCGCTGCCCCTCCCCACTCCCACCCCCATGAGGCCATGAAAGTAACATCTCTTTTGGAAGGATGGCTCGCATCGGTCATTTGTGTTTCTCTTTCATTCAGTTCCCGGTGGGTGGGAGATTTAAATTCCCTGTAGTTCAGGGGTAGATTTAGAAAAGGGTTTAAGGGGCCTTTGTAGCAATTGCCGTGAAGAGGCACCGTGGACTCTCCCTCTGCCCCTCAGATTGTAGACCTGGATTCTGAGCGGGGATTGGTGATTCTCGCCTGGGTGTAGCCGGTCTTCCCACAGCTGAGTGTGGAGATGTGTCTTGCTTCCGGACGGTGTCAGCTCACTGCCAGTCTCTTTGGTCCCAGTTGGAAGCAGAGGCACCCCGGCTGGCCGAATACCAAGCGTACATCGACTTCGAGCTGAAAGTCGGCGACCCTGCCCGCGTTCAGCTGATCTTCGAGCGCGCCCTGGTTGAGAACTGCCTGGTCCCGGACTTGTGGATCCGCTACAGTCAGTACCTAGTAAGATAACCGCTCCCGTTTCGTTCTTCTCCTCTTTGGGGGCCACATGGAGCCAGTCAGAGCGCCCGGCGTGGGCTGCGTGCTGCTCGTTTCTGCTCGTCCTCCTTTTCTGTTTGCCCCTCACTGAGGAAGTTCCTCCAGGGTTTTAACTTACTTTAAACTGATCGGGAATAAGAAAAAGTTACATAGCCTTACTGTTGAGGACCTTGTAGCAGATTTTTTCCTTCTAACCTTTTATCATGGAGAAGGTAGCCATACAAATGTGGAGGGATCAGTAAGGTGAAACCTCACTTACCCATCCCCCAGCCCCACTCCAGCAGTTACCTCGAGGCACTTACGTGGATAAACCCACGTCCCAACCTGCTTCCCCATCCCGTGTTATTCTAAGTTAAATCCAGAAATCACTATTTTTTTGGTAGATATTTCAATATGTACGTATAAAAGATTTGAACTGGATCTGAACAAGAGCTATGCGTTAATATTGGTGGATGCTCCTCAGGCTGTTTTAATCTGTGGGTTCCCATTTCCACCTCTTTTCCCTCACTCCCCACTGCGATTTCTTTCTTGAAGAAACTGGTCACAAGAGACATTTCTAAGGAAATTTCTTTTGTTAGTTGGTTGTGCTGGAAATGTCTCGTGGGTGGCGATGTCTTAACCATAAAATTTCACCCCCTGACCCTGGGATTCTGTACTGTAGGATCGGCAGCTGAAAGTAAAGGATTTGGTTTTGTCTGTGCACGGTCGCGCCGTCAGAAACTGCCCCTGGACTGTCGCCCTGTGGAGCCGCTACCTCTTGGCCATGGAACGGCACGGAGTCGACCATCAAGTGATGGCTGGTGCGAGCGCTTCTGCGGGAAGACCTCGGGAACGTGGCGCAGTGGCCAAGCCGGCACCCCCAAGGGTGCTGCTTCGGGTGGTGGGCAGTAGTGACAGGCAGGGCTCGAGTGGGAGGCCTGCTGAGGTGGTTTGGGCTCTCGGGAGCTTTTTAACAGAAGGCTGGTGTTTACTGCGACCTTCCAGGAGCCTTTTCTTCAGGCTGGCTCGCCCTGGAACTCGGATGCCATTTCCAGGGCGGTTCGGGCGTTGCTGTGGTAGCTTTTCTTTGGAACGTCTCTTTCTAGCTCATTTTGCTTGGTCATATCTTGTCATTATGTTAAATCATACAGTATTTTATGGTCAGAAGTTTTTTGTAATAATCTTGATAACTTCATTTTAGTCTTTTCAATTGGTCACAAACCATCTTTCTCCTCTACTCCAGCGACCTTCGAAAAAGCTTTGAGTGCTGGCTTCATTCAGGCCACCGATTACGTGGAGATTTGGCAGGCATACCTGGATTACCTGAGGAGGAGGGTCGATTTCAGGCAAGGTATTTGAGTTCGTGTGCTCCACGTCAGAACTGCGCTTTCTCTTAGCATGTCTTTCGGTGAGATGCCCAGCGCCCACATGCACTGTGATTGGGCAGTGTTGTAGACCGGCCATTGGCAGCTCCCTCTTGTCCCCCTGCCTCCCACATTTTAGTCATGAAGTTTTTCACAAGTCATGCTGTGGATTTTAGAGGAAAAAAGCGATGGTCCTTATGTGTTATGCTGGCTCTTGCAGCTCCTTCAGTCTCATTTTGTAGTTTTCTCTTCTCTCCCTCCTATGTACACAAAATAGTTCTCTAAATGAGGCTGCTGTGTTCCTATTAAATCTTTGGAACTTTTGCAGGATTCCCCTTCCTTTCTCTTTTCACCCTCAAAAAAGAATAGCAGCCAGAACCTTGTGTAACTCGTTCTTACACGCTCATGCACGTGGCCTTGGGCAGTCTACACCCAGCACCCTGTGCTCGCTGTTGTCATTGTGCCACTGTGCTGTGCTCTGCTCTAGCACCTCTGTCCCCCACTCCCTGGTGGCGGCAGGGACTGGAAATTTTATTTCTGTGTCCTCAGCATGATGCTAGGTGCCTCACAGGCCCCTGCGAGTTTCAGTGTAGGATTTTTAAAAAGACGTGTTACGTGGTTTTGCGGAGCCAAACCCCTTCTGCTCTTTCTCCCAGACTCCAGTAAAGAGCTGGAGGAGCTGCGGTCCGCGTTCGCCCGGGCTCTGGAGTACCTGCAGCAGGAGGTGGAAGAACGTGAGTGTGCCTCCACCTGCTGCCTCGTCCCGTTGTGTTTCCTGCTCTCGGTTGATGGGCCTTTTCAGGCAAAGGCCCTTTGTCTCGAAGTCGCTTTCTAATTTTGACTGATTCTATTTTTAAAGGTTTCAATGAAAGTGGGGATCCAAGCTGCATGATCATGCAGAACTGGGCCAGGATTGAGGTAAATATTTGACAGACTCGTTGGTTTCCTCCACTTTGAAGGTCCTTTGTCTGAGAGTGTGGCTGAAGTCGAGTGGGAATCCCAGCTGATGGTCTGGGCTCTGTGGGCGGTCGTGTTGTCTGCCTAGCTGGGTGCACTTTTGTTTATGTCTGAGTGCGAACGTGAGCTCCCAGGCAGCAGGTGTGCGGCCAGTGTCTCAACACCAGGCGTTCACTCACGTACCGCCTCTCTCCCTGGCTCAGTGCCTGTCAGGTTTGTGCTGTTGGCCAGGCACTTGGCCAGGTGCTGGAGTAATGAGGTCGACACAGTTCCTGCACTAGTCAGGCTTTGTGTCCTAGTGTGCGAAACAGACAGTTGGACAGTAATTACAGGGTACCGTGAGTCAAATGTTACTACGGGACCACGGACCCCACGGGGAGTGGGGCTTGGCGCCTGCCCAGGAGCAGCTCATAAGAGTTGCAAAAGTCGTAATGTCTTATTCTCTGAGGGGAAGTCAGGGCAAAGAAACACTTTTCTGGTAATTTCTGGGTGGGACGTTTGTGTGGTAATCATTTTAAAGATGAGGCAGCCAAGGCTTAGGGAGGTTAAGTAACCCACCCAAATCACTTAGTAAGTGGGAGCTGGCTTTTGCTTCTAGATCAGACTGACTTTCTCTACACTGCCTCTCAGATTAAACACTTGCAGTGAAGCTTCATAGAAAACAAAACAAACCAGGCCCCTGGCCAGAGCTGTGAGTGCCCACAGGCCCCTGCTCTTTGTTCTGGACAAAGAGGCAGCCCAGGGCGGTCAGTGCAGAAAGGCTGCCGTGCTCAGGCTGCCTGTAGCCACAGAGGGCGGCCTGGGAGCGCCCAGGGGTTCACGGGACACTGAGAGTCAGAGGCGGCTTTTTAGGCAGGGCTGTTGGAGTGTGTTTGGTGATGGGCGTAGGTGTCATCAGGTTCAGGTGCTTTCCTGACTGAGCCTTCTAACGCGTCTTAGGCCCGACTGTGTAATAACATGCAGAAAGCGCGGGAGCTCTGGGACAGCATCATGACCCGAGGAAACGCCAAGTACGCCAACATGTGGCTGGAGTATTACAACCTGGAAAGGTAACAGCCTGGGGTGGAGGAGGCAGGGCTGTGTTGGGAGGCACTCGCCTTCCTTTGATGGGACTGTACTTGGCCGCCGGGGCTTGCGTCTTTAACCTGGCCCCGCCTTCTTTCATCCTGTCTCTTTCATTAGTGGCCCGGGCTAGAGAACCAAACCTGGTATTTTTTGCCTGGGCTGTTACAGCTATGCGTTTCTTTTAATTTTCTGGGGTTTTTTTTTCCTTTTTGCTTTTTATTTTGTTTTGATTTTCTAGACATGAATGTTTTATTTGAATTTTGGGGGAACTGTTCATTTTTTTACTATATTTGCTTTGCCTATAGAAGTATAAAATACTAAAAAAACACAGAGGAAAAAGCTCAAATTATCTATAGTCATGGACCCAGGTGTAACCACCATTAGTTGTTTGGATATATTTTTTGAGGCTTTTATGCTTAAATTTTTAGAAAATTAACATGTAGTTATACAGTGCACCTGTTATAAACTTCTAAAATTATTCTAAATAAATGAGCCATGTGCAGTAATATCGATAACATGGGGAAGACATAAAGAGTACAACCAGCTTTTTTATTGTGTATTTTGAACGAAGACAGTGAAATGTGGGAGGAACTTGGTCGAGCAGAATCCTCCCATCCGCTGTGGACGGTTAAATAAGTTGTCCCAACACAGTCTTTCTGTTCTGGTGGGGAAGGGGGTGGCGATTCCCTCGGGTGGGGAACGCCCCGAGCCCTTCTCCCAAACAGTGGCTCTTACCAGGAGTGGTGTGGGTAGGTGTACACAGCCTACCTGCATAGCTCATCAGTCAGTGTCAGAAAGACTCTAGGCATACGGAGACAGGTATTATCTACAGAAGCAATGGAAGGAACACAGAGATTTGTCATAGGGCAGGGTCTGTTAGTCATGTTGACGCCAGAGGGCCTTCAAGACATACTTCATAAGATAAGGAGTTTACTCCTTAAGCCTTGAACTTCAACATCCGGTTTATATCACCAGGGTCATACAGAAACAAAGCAGAGCAAGCTTCAGAGGATACAATGTATTTATCAGGCCTGGTTCCCACGGGAACTCTGGGTGTTAGAGTGGAGTTGCGCCACCTTCGTTTGTATCTGGTTTTCCACGGAGTCTTACTAGCCCCTCTCAGGGCTTGCTGTCCTGGGGCTACAGTCCCGGAACCCACACAGAGTCGTCCCCAACAGTGAAAGTTCCCTGTAACCCCACCCCCAGAGGTGACACTATTAAAGCTTGTTGATTCCTTTTCATGAGCAGCTCTCAGGCTGTTTTTTGGCCTCAGAACCCCTTGGTACTTCTAAAATTGGAGGATCCCAACAGCTTTTGTTTATGTAGATTATCTAGGACTCTTGAGTATATACCGTTTTAGAGAGTGAAGATGGTGTTCCATGAAAAAACTAGTTCAGATTTCACCCCAAACAAGGACAGCGTTTTCTTTGCCGCCGCCGTGGTACCTGGTGTGCAGAAGGAGTGCTCTATGGGACAGGGCTGGGAGCCTCCGATCCCGTGGCACTGCCCGCTGAGAAGACTGCCCCTCTCTTTGTGTGCCTTCTGCTTTGTGTCTTGGTGGGAGCACCTGTTGGCTTTCTTCCCTAGGGCGCACGGCGACACCCAGCACTGCAGGAAAGCTCTGCACCGGGCTGTCCAGTGCACCAGTGACTACCCGGAGCATGTCTGTGAAGTGTTGCTGACCATGGAGAGGACAGAAGGTGGGGACGCTCGGCTCTCTGCTCTGGCCTGGAGTCTGTAAGGACAGGCTGTGTTCATGGCTGCAGCCCTTGCATGGTGCTCACCCTGGGACTGGCTGCTCCCAGCTCCTCTAGAGCCAAGGGGCACTGCCCGTTGTTTAGTTCTGGCATGGGCTCTTAGAGTTCTTTGAGGAGGGGCCGTCCTGGGCATTGCAGGGTCTCTAGCAGCATCCCTGGCCTCTCTCCCCACTGGGTGCTGGTAGCAACCTCTCTGCCCCCAGTTACGACAGCCAAAACTGACTCCAGGTGTTGCTGAATGTGTCCTGGGGGGGGTCAAGGTCCCTCCAGCTGAGAACCTCCGTTGGAGAACCTCATGCACACCAGGGGAGCACAGAGCGGCAAACGGCCCCTTTTGTGCTCGCCTGCCGAATTTTAGAGCCTCAGTATTACATTTCTAATGGGGAAATAGTTTATTCATGGGCATTGGTCTGGATTTTGGGTGGGAACCCCACAGAACTTGAAATAAAATCCCCAAAGAAAAACCAACTGAAAAATACCCTAACATCTATCATTTGAGATGCTTTTCAGATTTTTTAGTCTTAATATTGGATTTGCCAAAAGGTTTGTTTTTTTCCCATATGATGGGTCTAGTAGCGCTTAGTTGCCTTTAACTTAATTTGAAACAGTTTTGTTAGGTTGTATCGTGACAGCTGTCATATCAACTGTGCATTAAAATAAAAACTGCCCTGGCTGGTGTGGCTCAGTGGATTGAGGGCTGGCTGCAAACCAAAAAGCCTCTGGTCTGATTCCCAGCCAGGGCACATGACTGGGTTGCGCGAGCCAGGTCCCTGGGTGGGTCCGTGCGCGAGGCAACCAACTGATGTCTTTCTCTCTGTCTTCCCCCCTCCCTAACGCTCTCTGAAAAGAAATAAAATCTTAAAAAAAAAGTTACCAAAATTGGTGAATTTTTGTGTAGTCATTTTAATATCGAAGATGGAAGAAAATGTGCAACATTTTTGGCGTATTAAGCTTTGATTATTTCAAGAAAGGCAAAAATACAACTGAAACGTAAAAAGAGGTTTGTGCAGTGTATGGAGAAGGTGCTGTAACTGACCAATTTGTTAAAAGTAGTTTGTGAAGTTTTGTGCTGGAGATTTCTCTCTGGATGATGCTCCACGATCCAGGAGACCAGTTGAAGTTGATAGCAGTCAAATTGAGGTACAAATCGAGAACAGTCAACATTATACCATGTGGGAGATAGCCAACACACTCAAAATGCCCAAATCAGTAAAGTTATTGGTGAAAATGAAAACTTTTATTTTACAAAAAATACTGAACAGACTTTTGGCCAACCCAATATAAATGTCTTGACCCGTTTTGATTGGAATGTTTTCGTAATCTGCCAGGGAGCGCCCATGATAGATGATACTCTAGTTTTTAAGTCTCTTTTCTCAAAGAGAAGGGGAGTTTCAGACACCCGGTAGGACTGCTGGGATTCTAAAACTTCCAGCCTGCATGATGAAACGGACTTAAGATGGGGAGCTGACTGTCCGGTGCTTGTCTGATGGGAGAGATGTCTTCTGGAAGGTGGGGAAATTAAGAAAATTGTATGTTGTTATATCCTTCAAAACCCCCAAAAGTGAAAGCTTGCTTCTTTTTCTCTCAAGGTACTTTAGAAGATTGGGATATCGCCGTTCAGAAAACAGAAACTCGGTTAGCACGGGTTAATGAGCAGAGAATGAAGGTAATGATGCTGTTGATTGAAAGTCTGGGGGACTTCTTATAGCTGTTTTGACTGTTTGGGATGAAGGCTTTTTGTCAAAACCTGAGGTCTTTCTGAAATGTGTCTCAGAGTATTGTGAAGTATTTGAACCAAGATTTAAACCAGTCTTGTATTATTTCTTAGCAAAAGGTGAAAGATGGATACAATCTGAAGAGAAACCAAAGTGTGTGTAGTATTTTTTTTTAGAAAGACTTAACACCTTAGCCCCAACAGTGAATACTTACTTATGTTACAGCAGGGGAATTTGTGCCCTAAAACGTTACTAGAATAGATGAGAAAAATAATAAAAAGGTGATTAACAGCCTAGTGGTTGGAATATGAACACCCCCAAGTTAATTACGGCCCTGGTTTCAGAGGTTGTTGTCCTGTTGGTGCGTAATTCTTGGGGTTATCGTGAGAGGTGCTGGAGATTTGGGGGACAGATGCTAAGGGGCCGGAGGAGCCCTGGTGGGGGAAAACGCGAGCACATCCTCCACATTTTTTCATGGTCTTGTCCTGGCACTTGGGTTATGAATTCCCCCTGCCTGTCCCCTGTCCCCTTCCACCTTTCTTACCACCACAAGTCAGTGGAGTTGAGGTCATTGCTGTGCCCCGTGATGCATCATGTGCCCCACTTTCCAGGCTGCAGAGAAGGAAGCGGCTCTTGCCCAGCAAGAAGAGGAGCGGGCTCAACAGCGGAAGCGGGCGCGCGCCGAGAAGCAAGCGTCGAAAAAGAAGAAAAAGGCCAGAGGCGCGGACAAGCGCAGAGCGGATGAGGATGATGAGAAGGAGTGGGGCGACGACGAAGAAGGTAGAGATTTTCAGAAATTTCATTTTGGAACGTCTCAGCGCTCTGGAGAAGTTGCACAAAAACAGTACAGAAACTTCTTAGATCCTTTGAAAACGTCGCCCCTCCTCTCCTGCCAGGCTCTGTGCCCTGTGTAGGTGCTGCTCTGCACAGGGGCCTGGGCCCCAGCCCCCTGCACTGCGCTGCGGCCTCCACTGCCCTCTGTGTGGTGCCCTCCTCACCCCGCTGGGGCTCCTGTGCCCGGAGCTCTTCCTGTCGCTGCCCCACATGTGGACATCCCTTCATCCCACTCGGGGTCCGGTGTCCCCTGGCACCGCCCGGCCCCACCCTGCACCGACGACACCTGCCTTGTTTCCCTGCCTGTGGTTTTGACTTGGTAGCATGTTCCAACCAGTGTTTCTGTCAGCCCTGCAACTTCAGGAATGGGCAGCTGCGGGTCCGATTTATTTCAGCAAAGTCAGGGTAGAGAACTGTCTGTAGACGTTAAGGAACTCGATGTTTTCCTAGTACAGAGTTGTCAGCCAGAGGGAAGTAGTGATGGAGGCGTCATTCAGTTGACCTTCCTTGCACGCCTTTCTGGGGCTTTCAGAAACGGCCACTAGCTCACAGCCCTTCAGAGCTCCTGGGTTAGCAGGGTGAGGCAGGTGTGCTGTGCCTGCAGTGGTGCGTCATTGGGACAGTGGGAGCCGAAGAGGGCGCTAGTGGGCCAGCCCCCTGCGCACGCGAGAGGTCACGGGGAGGTGATGTGTGCACCTCGGCATCTGGGGGAGGGGCCGAGGGACTGGCAAATGAGTGACTGTCAAGTGAAAAAGACAGGAAGCCAGACAGAGCTGGTGTGAGCACGTCATGAGGCACAGACAGCCTGGCATTTTCTGTGAGCAGCAGTAACTGGGTTTGGGCCGCGATGCTGGCTTGGGGCCAGGTGCGGGCGTGGTGAGGCTGGATCAGCAGGCTGGGCCCCACGCCGGGATATTCTTTTTTAAAATTCATTTATTTTCCCTGGAGGACATGCATTTTGACTTTAGGAGAGAGAGAGAAACATTGATTTGAGAGAGAAACATTGAATCGTTGCCTCTTGCACATGCCCTGACTGGGGACTGAACCTGCAATCCAGATACGTGCCTTGACTGGGAATCGAACTTGCGACCTTTTGGTTTATGGGACAGTGCTCCAACTCAGGGATGCTCTTGAATGCAGCATGCGGCTGTTAGACTTCATCAGGAAGCAGTGGGAAATTGATGGGAGGGTCTGGAAGTGGGGGGTCAGTGCCAGTTGGGTTGCAGGACTCTCTCGAGACAGTGGGGAGAGTGGGTTGCAGTAGAATGTTGTTCAGCTCTCCTGAAGGACACAAGACAACAGTGGAAGTTTTTAGGAATGGTAGACCCTTTGTAGAGCTTCCCCAGGCGCGGCCCACATGTGGAGCATGTACTTCAGTCACCTAAGGTGCTTGTTTAAATGCAGGCCCATGAGCCCCATCCCTCCCTTGGTGACCTGGGCTTCTTAGAAGAGGGGCCTTGGAATTGGCTGGCTGAACTTTCAGACTCCCTGACCTTTTACATAATTAAACATGGACAGTGAGGACTTAAACGTTGTCGCATCTACTTGATTTAGCCCATTTATTCAAATGTAACCCGGGTCCAGAAAGCCGTGGAATAAGCTGGTGAGCTAAGAACAGCTGGCAGGTACTGCGCGTGCAGACGTGCAGAGAGGCGTGTGTTTATCACGTGCGGCTGTGGCAGACCAGCTGTTGGTAGTGGGAAGAGCGTGTGCGTGGACCAGCTCAGGGCAGAGAAGAAGTGAGTGATCGTTGCTGCTTTTCTCCCGACACCCTGTAGAGCAGCCTTCTAAACGCAGAAGGGTGGAGAACAACGTTGCCCCGGCCCGAGAGGCCCAGGACCTCGAAGCGGAGACAGGACTCTTCGGGAAGAGCGCGCCCGTAGATGCGGCCCCCCCTTCGAAGCAGAAGGAGAGGGCAGCTGCCCTGAAGAGGGACGCGCCCAAGGTGCCCCACGACAGCAGCAAGGACAGCATCACCGTCTTCGTCAGCAACCTGCCCTACAGCATGGAGGAGCCGGGTGTGCAGCTCCGGCCACTCTTCGAGGCGTGTGGGGAAGTGGCCGAGGTCCGGCCCATCTTCAGCAACCGGGGCGACTTCCGAGGCTACTGCTACGTGGAGTTTAAAGAGGAGAAGGCGGCCCTGCAGGCCCTGGAGCTGGACCGGAAGAATGTGGACGGGAGGCCAATGTTCGTGTCCCCGTGTGTGGACAAGAGCAAAAACCCCGATTTTAAGGTATGTCTCTGGGGAAAGAATGCCTTCCATGAAGGGCTATTACAAACAGACTAAGCCCTTTTTTCATGTAGCAGCTGTTATTTACAATGTCCGTGGAATAGGGGACCGAACTGTCTAACGGGTGTGTCCCAAGCTGGTTAGCTGAGGTCCGGCTCACAGCCCGGTCACTCTGAGCGCACATTCGCTGATAAATGGTCATGAACTGAGGAACTGTGATAATGGTGACCGTCCAGTAGTGCCTAGGAGTGACAAGGGACTGTGCTAAGTGTTTATGTTTACGTTACTTCATGGGATTCTCACCCAAACTTGGAAGATCTACTCTCATTCTTGCCACTTTGCAGAGGAGGAAGTGGAGGCTTGAGAGGTTAAGCGACATGCCCAGAGTGACCCAGTTAGCAGTTCCCGGTGCCCAGAATTGGCTCGGCTCTGCCTGGCTGGGACGTGGACTTGAAGACGAGGACTCTGGGCTGGGCATCCAGCCATTGGTTTTCCCTCCATTCTTCCTGCAGGTGTTCAGGTACAGCACTGCCCTGGAGAAGCACAAGCTGTTTATCTCGGGTCTGCCCTTCTCCTGCACCAAAGAGGAGCTCGAAGAGATCTGTAAGGCTCACGGCACTGTGAAGGACATCAGGCTGGTTACCAACCGAGCCGGCAAACCAAAGGTCAGCGTCCGAGCGGACGGCCAGACCTTGCCTTCCGAGGCTGGGGACCTGTCCCTGTGTCTGTTCGCAGGTTTTTGGTTTCTGGAGTGGATTCCTACTTTGTTTCCTAAGAAACAAATAAGTTAACAGAAGGATAGGTACACTAGGCTTACTTGTATTTGGGGTCAAACGAATCTTTTTGTAGCTAATTGCATTAAAAAGAACAAGGCAGTTAAAAAACAAAACAACCGACCGACCACGAAGTAGCAGGGAGCACAGTCAGAGCCCACGCTGGGGCCTTGGGGGGAGCGGCTGTCCTCTGCGTCTCCGCCGTCCTGCCCAGACCCTCCTTTCCTCAGGCCTCCCGCTGTTGCCCTGGCCTCGCCACCGGGCTCCTGTCGTGCAGCCCTTCAGCCCCTTCTCGGTCTCGTGAGTTCCGCTCTGCGCCACATTCAGAGTAGTGTTTCAGCATGAGCTTGGGTGATCTTTTTCCCCCTCCCCCTCATCCAAGTTAATCGAGAGTTAAAGGGTGTGTGAGCTGAGGGGGTGAGGAAGGCTCAGATGTCAGGGCACACCAGGGCCGCCCCCCAGTGCCCAGGCCACCTCAGCCGCCCGTCTGCTGGATGTATACTGGTCTGTCTGCCCTTTCTGCTGGAGCAAGCACAAAAGGTGCTGAGCTTAACACAGGTTCCTGAGGGCACAGTCAGTGACAGCCCAGAGGAAAGCGTGGGGGAGGGAAAGGAACTTACAGACAAAGGATGGTGGTGGTGGGGAAAGTCTCCGGGCGATGGGGCGCCTGCTCTGGCCCCCCAGCCGGAGGGAGGCAGTGGCGTCCTGGCTGTGCAGCCCCTGACCTGGCTCTGGCCTCTTTCAGGGCCTCGCCTACGTGGAGTACGAAAATGAATCGCAGGCCTCGCAAGCTGTCATGAAGATGGACGGCATGACCATCAAAGAGAACGTCATCAAAGTGGCCATCAGCAACCCGCCGCAGAGGAGAGGTCCAGAGAAGCCGGAAGCAAGGAAAGGCCCGGGTGGCCCCATGGTGCCTCGGCAGATGTATGGAGCGTAAGTGTGTGCAGCTGGCCGGTGCAGACTCCGTCCCGGCCGGCACTCGGGTCAGCTGCTTTCCTATTGGCGCAATGCGTGGGACAGAAAGCCAGGGCCCGCTGTCCACTGTGGTCACTGGAGAGGTTGTCCAGAGCACAGGCCTGAAGAGACTGAGCCCAGAAGTGGGACCCACCCGTTCTGGTGTTTGCCAGTTTCCACTTGTGATTTGTTGAAGGCTGCGTTTTTCTCTGATTGTTTTAAAGTCGTCTTTGCCAGTTCAATCTGTATGTTTAAAGAGGGCCCAACAACTGTACGCTTGCCAGGGTAGTCTACGCCTCCAGCCGTCTTCCTGTGAAAGCTATTTTTTTACCTCATCGGGTGACAGAGCACAGTTGCCAGGTGGTGCGGTGAGGTGCGACGGGGCACACGGCCATTTTCACCTACCCACAGGTGACTGCACTGCAGAGGTTTGGTCTTTGCCAAAATTGAAGAAAAGACCGAATTAGTGTAGTTTTTATCCACTAATCAGTCTAGGAGATGTGGGCTTTGTCTTATCCGTGTAGTGTTCTTTTAATCTTTGAACTTCTAGTGGTTTCAGCCTCGCCTGGCTTGTTTTCACAAATACACCAGGGTCATGAATTGTCGAGTTAAAGGGTACATTCATTGTTTGCTCTTCCAGGCGGGGGAAGGGGCGGACCCAGCTTTCTCTGCTGCCTCGCGCCCTGCAACGCCCCAGTCCCGCAGTGGCTCAGGCCGAGAATGGCCCTGCCCCGAAGCCGGTCACCACTTCAGCGGCCACCGAAGCTCCCAAGATGTCCAACGCTGACTTCGCCAAGTTGCTTCTGAGAAAGTGAACGGGATTCTGAGAGAAGCGGAATGCCTTACTTCACGCTGGCCAGAAGGACCACCGTCGCCCAGCTGTACCCTGGGTATGGAAGGGCCCGGGCAGCGCCCACGCCCACGTAGTGTCTGCTGGTCTAGACAGACAGGGAAAGGGTGTCCCAGGAAAGAGGCCCTCAGTGTTCCCTCATATTGAGGGTGACAGAGGAAAGCAGTCACTCCGCAGGTAGGGCCCAGAGTGTAGTTTCTAAGATATTTTTTTGTCTTGAAGAGTGATAAACGGAAGTGAAACTTGGACACGCTGTTTTGAGACACACTTGTCCAGATGTTTGCGGCCAACTCTGGCCCCTTTTATAAGACACTTCTCTCCCACTCTGCATAGTACACGTGCCCGCCGCTCTTTAATTTTCGAAAGACAAGATGGCAGATGCTAGTAATTCACCGGAATGGCCTATTTTAGTAATGGGGTGGGGACAAGGGAAGTCACATAAAAAATGTTTGACAGATTTTTGTCCAAGGGGGCTGTGCGTTTTTATATTATGTATTTGTAAATGACACGTCAACCCATCGTCCTCACGTTTCCTGAAAGCAGAGTATCTGTGACATTTGTGTCACATAGGAGTTCTGGGTGCCGTCTGCTGTGGACCATTTTCTTTGCCTAGTGACTAGTGGACTGTGTTCTTCGTCTCAATACTGAGTTTTAGCCCTTTGGTTTTGTTCAAATACCATGTCAAGTGCAAATTTAAGTTTTCCCCATTTAGGTTTGTTTATTAAACCGATGTTCTCTTACAACCCGCTTGTGGAGTGGTACTCAGCTCTGCGTTCCTCCGCGGATCTTTAGAAGTAGGTGTGCCTTCCTTTACCCAGCAGACGAGTAAATAGAACGTCTAAGTCAAGTCCCGCGTCACTCTGATTTCAGTCCTTCCAGCTGTGATGTGTGTCAGCCTTAAACTTCAGTTTATGGCTGTTCATGTGTGAGCCTCTATGGTTTCTACCTGTTCTCTTTCATCAAGGATTTGCTGCCTTGGTAGCTGACATTGGCGGCTCAGTAAGGAAACGTACTTCACAAAGGCACTGGCGCGGGGTGAGGGGTCGGCGGGCGGGAATCAGTCTGGGACTCTGAGGTGTGATGGAAATCAGCATGGCTCTTTTCTTAACTCTCACCTGAGAATCTGTTGATTTTCAGTAGGGGGCAGCGGAGAGAAAGATTGATTGGTTGGCTCCTGTATGAGCCCCCAATGAACTGCAGCCTTTTGGTGTACGGAGGACGCTCCAACTGAGCCACCCGGCCAGGGCAACTCAAGTTTTTTAAGTGTTTGTGCCTCATTCAAGCCTCACTATATTTAACTCACATTTTTAAGTGGAAAACGTTAAGATAAACTGTTTATGTGCCTCCCATCCAACGTCAGCATCTCTCACGCCAGAGCCATCTTTCTTTCTCTCTGCCTCTACCCCTGCCCCTCGTCCCTATTATATTGAGGGCACCCCCAGCATCAGAGCAGCAGCCAACGGTGTTGTAGCGTGTGTCTCTAGGAGAGAGTTTAAAGGCTATAGTATCATCGTTATTCTAGGAATATTAGCAGTAATATCTCGGTGCCATAAACTGTCCAGCGAACTTCCTGTTTCCTGTTCTTTCATAAATGTCAGTTCTATCCCATAAGTTGAGATTGGTGGATCATAGCTGAGTCTTCTGATCTGTAGGTCCCCCTCTGCTGTGTGTGTCTTTTGCATAAAGACAAAGATGTGTTAGGAGTAATCTGAATTGAATGCAAGCAGTGGGCATTGCTTATCTCGTAAGAATCCAGAAGAGGCTGCACTGTGCTCTGCAACGGCCCCTCCCTGCCTGCGGAAGCCCCCTCAGTGGGAGAGGGTTTGGGCTGGTCCGGGGCTGACCCTGCAGAGCCGTGAGTATTCCCTGGCCATCCCGGGTTTGAGCAGCTTTGCTTTCTGCCTTTTCATAGTTCATCTGTTCTCTTGTGGTCGGCCAGTCCTCTGGCCTCTCATGCTCTCAGGTGTGGGCACAGGTCTCACGCAGAGGTGAACCTTTTCAGACCTGAGCAGGACCCGGGGTGGGTTAGAGGCATTGACTATTCTAGATAGGGAGATTTAGGACTGTGTTACTGGGCTTGTGTGTTTTCCCCTGAAAATCACAGACTCGAGGTAAACAGAAACATGAAAAACCACTTCCGCTACTTGAGTCTTAAGTGAGAGACCAGTGAGCATGTCTGTCCGCCCAGGCAGGCAGCTTACCCTGCAGCTGCCTTGTTTCCCGGGGGAGTTCCCGGGTCTCCATTCTGCTCTGCTGCCAGAACTGTGTAAAGAATGGGTCTGTGGCCCTCCGACAAGTGGAACCATCTATTGAAGAAGACAGCAAAGTCTCAGGCATTTATTTAATGTAATAAAATACTTTTATTAGGGTCAGTTATTTGTTAAAGTAATGTCCTTCACATTTCACTAAAGTGCCAGTTTTAATAGTACAAAGCAAGCACTTCCATCAGGCTTCCTTGGTGTGCTTATAAAAACCAAGATGTAGATTTAAGAAATCCTTCACGGTAGCAAACAAATATGAAAATATTTTCTGTAAAGGTCTGAATAACTCACTTGGGCCCATTTCGTATATCTTTCCATTCATTTCCCTTAATCTTTCAGAAAACCTTTCTGAATATGCACACAATTAAATAGAACACCTGCCACGTAAGAGCAGTGACTGATCCTCAGACCAGAGCTGGTGCTGCATCCTCTGTGCCCCTTGGACACTGGTGGGGTGCAGGGCAGCGCTGGGCGCCGGCCTGTGTACCCGAGGCAGGAGCTGAGCCTCTGGCCACTCACTGAATAGCAGCAGTCGTGTTGGCTCCTGTGTCGTATGTGATTGAAAGATTCTTTCTGCTGCCACAGAAGGGTGGCTTGGCCGTAGTACATACAGCATTTCGTAAGTTGGGAGAAAAATAAGGCCACTCCAAGGTGAAATATTCTGTTTCCCCGAGGGGTGCTGGACAGTATGGTGGCTGTGGGTGGTTGGAGTCAGGTCAGTAAGTGGATCGAACTGCATGACCAAAAGGGACATGTCCTGGCCACGGCCAAAGGTTTTTCATGGTTCAGTACAAACCAATGCTCTAATTCTTTACCAAAATGCTTCTTTAACCCTGGCTGGGTGGCTCAGTGGGTTGGAGCATCTTCCCATACACCAGAAGGTTGTGGGTTTGGGTTGTGGGTTTGATTCCACAGTCAGGGTACATACTGGAGGCAACTGATCAATGTTCCTCTCTCCCTTCCTCTCTCAAATCAATAAACATATCCTTAGGTAAAGATTTAAAAAAGTGTGCTTGGTGGTGACGTGGCATCTGTGTTCTCAGAGGTGCTCTGTAACTCCTAGTTCTAGATGTCGCACTCAGAGAGGGGCGTGAGGGCAGAGCTGCCCACTTGCGCACTGCCTGACCTGCTGCGCTCTTCAGTTCAGGGACACCCCGAGAACTCTCAGACGTCTGGGCTGAGTTGCCGCAGATGCTGGAGATATAAACATGGACAGCACAGGAAAAACCAGGCGGGCCAGTCCCCTATTTTTCATTAGAAAAATAGTATCAGTATGGAAAAACAGCCTCTGATGCTAGAGCTTGCAAACTCTGGCTCTTGGAATAAGCAAGATACCAAAGTAGAAAGGTTGTCCGTGCTCATGTCATCTTATCTCTCAGTGCGCCCTGCCAGTAAGAATTAGTCACAACACCAGCCTCTCTGTAGGGCAGCAGAAAGCTCTAAGGAAGCAAGCTTTCAATCATTTCTCAAAACCGGGACCAGGTTCTCCTGGGTAAAACCACAGGACCTGTCGGCCAGTCTCAGAGAAGACTTGGAGGAGCTAGTCCCGTGTCTCTGGATCTCCTCCCAGTCTTGGCCTCTCGCCACCTTAGTGTACGTTCTGCTCCAGAACCTGTTCTGGTCACATGCAGAGAACATGTGCCCCCAGCGCCTGCCGGGACCACCGGAAGCATGGGCCACCAGCACGGGACAGACCCCACCACATCTACTAGCTCAAAAGAAGAAAATAAATAACTTGGCTGAATTATAAGTTACCCTAGAGACGAGTCTTAATAACTTAGTTTTTTTCTTACAAAAAATTGGAGGTAAAGAATGTTTAAGTTCCTTGTCTGTGTCCTTTTGCTTGGGGAAACGACAAGGTTTCTAGAAATGCTAAGTTTTGATTCTCCTCCCCCTGGAAACCCCATCACCAAGGGAGGTTTTTGAGGGTTAAGGCTTCACAGGTAGTGTCTCCTTGAACCCAGAGTGGTTGGGTTTGGCCTCGGGCAGTGCCACTGGGTACTCTGTTGTGGCAAAGAGCAGGGTGTCCAGGGTGGTCTCTGTACACTTGGCAATGAAGCGAATGAATGGCCTCACGTCGCCTTCGTTGGCGACTTCCAGTACGTGGTAGTACTCAGACCTCTGCTCCTTGCGGATGGTGATGGGTGGGTAGCCCGCCTGCATCAGGATGAGGTTCATCAGCAGCCGTGAAGTCCTCCCATTGCCGTCGATGAAAGGGTGGATATAAACAAGTTTATAATGGGCCAAGGCAGCAAACTCCACTGGGTGCAGATTCATGGCGTCCTCCGAGTTGAGCCACTGTATGAACTCTTTCATCTGCTTTTCCACCTCCTGAGGGTGGGGAGGGACGTGGTGTCCCACAAGGACCTGTGTTGTCCGGAACCTGCCGGCTTCCACGGGATCCACGTAACCCAGCACCCGCCTGTGGATCTCCAGGACATCGCTGATGGTGACGGACCCGATGCGGGAAACCAGCGTCGTGTTGACATACTTCATTGCCGCGTGCATGCCAATGACCTCATTCTGCTCCTCCAGGCTTTTCCCCGGCACGGCGTAGCGGGTCTCCAGAATGTGCCTGATTTCTGAGAGGGTGAGGGTGTTGCCCTCGATCGCCACCGTGTGATAGATGTGATGGTAGTACGTTTCCTCCATGACCCTTCGCAGCGCGGAGTTGCCCTTGGGGATGGACATGACCTTCTTCACTTTGTTGTCGATGATGCTGAAGTACCTCTGGTCGATCTCCTCCACCAGTGGCAGCGTCCGGTCCCGGTTGATCAGCGCTTTTTTGTGGTCGGGTGAGATGGTCAGTGCTCTGGTGTACAAATAATCCGCCTGGATAATGTCCTTGTCCTCTTCCGAGAAGATACCAAACTCGTTGAGAGCATCCACAAAGTCTGGGTCCATTTTCAGGGCGTGCAAGAAGAGCTTGTGGGCTTTCTTCCGCTTGCCTTGGCGTTTCATTTCCAGGGCTTGGTTCAGAGCTGCTTTGGCTTCCAACTTACCGGCTGGAAAAGAGCCGAAGAAGCACAGTCAGGGAGGGCAGGGAGTGGTCAGCTGCTGGGCCCCAGGGGAAGCCCTGGCCATGGGGGCTCGGTCCAGCCACGCTGCTCTTCCTTTTAGCGTGCTAGTACTACTGCCTGTGTGGATGTGTTTATTTCCCACAGCCCCACGGAGTGGGAGCTGGCGTTTTTCCATTTGTCCCATGGCCCTGGAGGCATCTCCTTGTCCCCTGCCTTCCGCCTGACACATGGGGAGTGGCTGTGTACCTCTGGCCACAGCTCCCATCACTCGGCCATCCCCACATCCTGGTGGGGCCTCCCCTGCCTCTGGAGGCCAGGCTGTGAATGGCTCCCCACTGGTTCTAGCCTTTGAGTCCTCCCCATCCCTGGGCCCTTTAATTCCCTTAACCTAGTCGTTTTCAGCCGCACCCTGTTAAACATCTAGTCTTCCTTCCACCAGCTCTCCCACCAAGTGAGTGTCAGTCACACTTCCTGGGCTTCTTTTAGTTCCTCAAGTGCCCGAGACTCACCCTCAGGCCTCTGCTGGAGCACTCTCCCCTCATAACTGTTCCTTTGGATCACTCCTGCTCACACTGTGGTCTCAGCTTAAGTGCCCCCTCTTCCAGGGAGCCTTTCTGGTGTGCTCCTGTGGCCTCCTTTGCTCCCCTATCACCCCACTGGTGGCACTGTATGGGTCACCTGTCAGCTTGTCTAGGCCGGGAGGTCAGGGCTGACTTCTTCACTGTGACCCAGTACCCTGCACACAGGTTGAAGCAGACACGAAACATCTACTGTATTAGCAAGTGCTGAGTGAGAGTGATGTGAGAGCATCATGGGAGAGTGAGAAGACGCCACTGTTTCTACCCTGTAATGTAGAAAAAGGTAACTGAAAAAAGGATTCCCCATTCAACACACGGATGTGCCTGAAAGAGCCACACACAGGGACATCGGAGGATGGAAGCAGGGAAGGTGGGGTGGGGGAAGGGCAGGGACGGTGGCCGCAGGTGAGGCTCAGCACCCACCTTGGCCCCAGCGAGTTGGCAGCCGTGGAGGAGAAGTGCTGCAGCCCTCCCGCTAGAGCCTGGCTCCGTGCCTGGGCAAAACCAGGTAGAGGCAGCTGGGAAGTCTTAACACAGTGGTGCCGACAGCCTCTGCTGCCAGGGGGGTGGGGGGCAGAGTCGTGAGATTGCAGACTTGCCTCCTGTGCCCCAACACCCTGGCAGAAGCTGGGGACGAAGGCTGGGAGGTGAAAATAGAACGTGGCAATGTTTGGGGGACACAGCCAGAGCGCAGAGTGGCAGCAATCAACAGTGTGGTACCAGCAGGAAAATGCACAGACAAGTGGTACAGAATTGAGTGTCCAGAAATAAACCCATACACATGGGCAACTGATGTTCATAAAAGGAGCTGAAAACATACAATGGAGAAAGGGAAGTCTCAGTAAATAGCATGGGAAAACTGGGAAGCCATACGCAAAAGAAAAACAACTGACAATGTGCACAAAAGTTGACTGAAAAGGGGTTAAAGACTTGAATATAAGACCCCAAGCAATAAAATATATGGAAGAAAATATAGGCATTAAACTTTAATACCTTGGTCTTGGGAGTTTTTGTGAACTTGACACCAAAAGCATGGGAAGTAAAAGCAAAAAAAAATACAAAACAAAACTCAAACTAAAAAGCTGCAAAGCAAAAAAGCATCAACAAAACAAAAAGGCAACCAACTGAATGGGAGATAATAGCATCAACAAAACAAAAAGGCAACCAACTGAATGGGAGATAATATTTACAAATGATATCTCCAATAAGGGGCCAATATGCAAAATATATAAAGAACTCATACAATTCAACAACACATGAAAAAACTTTGATTATAAAATGGGTAGAGGACCTGAATAGACTCTTTTCCAAGGAAGACATACAGATGGCCAACAGGATGCAAAGGTGCTCAGTATCACCCTGACCAGTGTGACTCAGAGGTCGTCCTGCCAAGTAGAAAGGTCACTGGTTCAATTCCCACTCAGGGCACATGCCTAGGTTGCAGGTTCTATCCCAGGTCCAGGCGCTTGTGAGAGGCTACTGAGTGACGTTTCTCTCTCACATCAGTGTTTCTCTCCCCCTCTTTCTCCTTCCCTTCCCCCCTAAGAATAAATAGAATCTTTAAAAAATTGCTCAACATCACTAGTTGGAAATATAAGTTACAACTATGAGATACCACCTTGCACCTGTTAAAATGGCTATCAATAAGAGAAGAAATACCAAGTTGGGGAGGATGTGAAGACAGAGCCCTCACATGCTGCTGGTGGGAATGTAAGTTGGTGCAGCCCCTACAGAAAACAGATGGAGGTTTCTCAAAAAAATTTAAAAAGTAGAGGTATCATGTGATCCAGCCATCCCTCTTCCAGGTATCTACCTGAAAAACTTGAAAACATTCATAAAGATGTATGTAGCCCTGTGTTCACTGCAGCATTCTTCACAGTGGCCAAAACATGGAAACCCAGGTGCCCTTTGATGGACAGATGGATAAAGAAGGTGTGGCACGTTATGCACGATGGAATACTATTCAGCCATAAAAAAGATGACACCTTGCCATCTGCCTTAGTATGGTTGTATCCTGAGTATTATGCTAGATGAAATAAGTCAGCTGGAAAAGGACAAGAACCATATAAATTCACTCATGTGGGATATAAAACAAAGCAACGAATGAACAAATGAAACAAAACTCATGCAACTGAATGGTGGTTCCCAGAGAAAAGGGGGACGGGGGAGGGCAAAGATGGTACAAGGGTCAAGTATATGATGAGGAGACTGTAGATACCACCACTGGGTGGTGAACACACAGTGCAGTGTACAGATGATGTGTAGACTTGTACACATGAAACTTATATAACCTCATTAACTGTCACCCCATAGACTAAACATTATCAAGTTGTACACCTAAAATTTGTTATTAACCAATGTTACCCCAATAAATTTAACAAGTGTAAAGAACACAAATGATAACATAAATCCAATGTGGCATAATCCAAACAAAGCAAAAAACCAAGAGTTGAGGAGAGACAGCCACTCTCTTACCTGGAGAGGACCTAGTCTTGACCACCAGCAGTGCCGCATCCTTGGAGGTGACGCTGAGTTCTGTGGATGGTCTGGTGTATCTGGTGACAGCGTGCTGTGCCCCATCCAACCTGCCGCTGAGCAGGTAGAAGCCTTTGAGCAAGGCCTGACACTGCTCCTCCATGGCCCCCAGGGGCAGCAGCAGGGCCAGCAGGGACCCCAGCACCATGCTCAGCACCATCACCCACAGGAAGCGGCTCCAGATGGAGATCCATTTTGGTTCACTCATGGCCATCACTGAAGCCATTGGTATGAGTGTCATCTGGACTCAGGGGTGGCCCCCTTGCACATATCCACAGTCGTATGAGAGAGAGCCGGATCTGAAAGGAACCAAGAGTTGGGAGGAGATGAGGCAGGGCAACTGGTATGTTTGGGATGCATTTCTGGCTCCATCTAGGGCTTGGCGACCCTCCAGGCCTCTTAACTCACTGTGACCAGGGGGTGAGGGCAAGCAGGGAGTGGATATAAATGGGGAGGGTCCAGCCTGGAAGGACTGAAAAGTAATGCTGCTGATACCCAGCATTTATTAGGCACTTACTGTGTGCCAGGCCCTGCGCTAAACACATCCTCCTGCAATCTTCAACAAGAGCTGATGCTACAGTCACCCCACTCTCCAGATGAGGAAACAGGTTTGGAGAAGGGAAGTGCCTCTTGCCTGGTCACCCAGTGAGCAGATGACAGACTGGAATGCAGGACCCTGTGGCTCTACAGTCTAGCCCTCCTCATCACAAATTCTGTGGCCTCTAACCCCAAACACTGAGTGGGACAAAAATAAGAACCTCACACATACCCAGATTGGCCAAGGCAGTTCTGAGGCCCATTCCTTGATAAGCGCAACTGTTTGGTGGCCTGATGTATTGTCACATGACTGGCCACCTCTTCCTGCCCTCACCCTGATATTAGCTGTGTCGCCAGTCCCTGCTCTGGCCTTCCTTTTCTGGCCTGCCCAGCAGGGATACTGCCTAGAGTTTGGGCAGTCAGACATCTCAAGGACAACTCAGGGTGTGGGCCAGAGCCAGTGACCCTGCGCTCTCTGTGACAGGGAGTTTGTGCTGGGGTCTGGCAGTGAAAGTGAAGGGGTCAAGCATGCTAACAATAAACATTTATTGGGCAACTGTGGTGTCCTGAGCCCTAGCCATGCATTATCTCGCGTAACCCTCAGTACCCTAAGAAGGACAGCCACCCCAGCTCCGCTGTACAGAAGAGGGGAACAAAACACAGAAAAGGCAAGTCAATTTCCAGGAGGCCCACAGGGAGTAAACAGAAACATCGGGTACGAATCCCTAGTGCGCCTGAGTTCTGGGTGCCCGAGGCGTCACCACTATCGTATCCAGAATCAGGGCCTGTGCACCTGCTCCTGGGGCTAGGCCTCCAAGAATCAGAGATGGCAGGTTAGGTTTCTCACTGCTCAGGGCTTTAGGTCCAACGGTGGGGGTGCGGGGTGGGCGCTGGCTCGTTGATCCAGAACATGAGAAATGGCTTGCTATGCGCTCTCATGGGGGTTCGCTTGGCCCACTGTGGGGTTACGGGGACTGGGGGTACGGAGACGGTGTGCGTCACTTTTGGTCCAGGTGGTCTGCGCGTTATCCCCGAGGAATGGGCTCCTTGGGGTGGCTGGTGTTCGCTGGTGACGCGGTTGTGCGCGGGGAGCTGGAGGTGCGTTCTGGGAAGTGCGATCTCTCACCCACCACTACTCTAGGAAGGGGGAAACTGAGGCCCGGGGAGGGGAGAGCACTGGACTGTCATTCTGGGGAGCGGCCCCTTTCCGAACCCCGCCCAGAACTCCCTGGCCTACCGCACCCTTCCCGGCTTGCTCCTTCCAAGTCCCTCCGGCTCGCCCCCTCCTCTCCGCGCACCTTTGGCAGACCCTGCCGCAGCTGTCCCGGCGTTCGCTAGCTCCTAAACGGGATCCAACAACCTCCCCCCGCCGCGGCTTGCCTTCTGGCCCCGCCCCCTCCAACTCGCCATTGGTCGGCTGGTCACTCTCTTAGCGGCGGGTTGGCTTCTCGAACCGGTGCGCTACTCGCACTTCCGGGTTCTGGCGTCGCTGACGGCTTCCCCGGGAAAGTCACGCCGTGGGCCACTCCCATTGGCTGGCTTCTGCGTTCATCTCGAGCCGCAGCAGCCAATAAACAATAGGAGGGGTGGGGCCTGGGCGACAGGCGGGAGGAGCGGGTGCGGAAAATCCCGCTGATACGATTTTGCAGGCACGGAAACTGGGAAACTAACAATTCTGCCGGTTTGAAACTGCTGTTCTTCCCGAGGGTGACCTTCTCAGGCATCTCTGCCGGCCTCAGTTTCCTTAGGTGTAATATGAGGATGTTGGTGGTTTGCACTTCTCCACCCTGGTTGACTTCACAGCCCACTTCTTATCCTCCATCCTCTGCTTCCAGAATTACGTTTTCTCCTTTTCCTCACCTTTTCTCTTTTCGTCCCTGAATTTTTAATTTAGATCCTCCAGAGAAGGGCCTGGCTGCTTGTTTTGGCTTCCCAGAGAGGGAGAGAGAGGATTTTTTTCCTTCAGGAAGAAAGGTGAAACCTCCATCTTTTTCTTTTGTATTTATTATTTTTTCCCTTTTTATTAAATATATTGGGGTGACACCGGTTAACAAAACTGTACAGGTTTCAGGTGCACAATTCCACAGCCCATCAACTGCACACTGTCCATCACCATTTATCTCCCCTGTACCTTCCTCCACCTCCCCCCCCCCCCTGCAGTCACCACACGCTTTGAAACCTTCATCTTCTTTTTGAAATCTCCATCTTAATTCACAAATATTGAAACTAAACATCCAGGACCTGCGGCATGCCCAGTAATTCCAAACATTAAGATGTCACGTCAGCTGTCGGTCGCTGGTGTCAGTTCAATGCTAACAGGAGCCCCCAGTTTGGGCCTTGGTGAAGTGGAAGACCCGTCAGTGAAGACAGCCCTGTGGTGCAACCGCACAGCTGTGGGTCAGCAGGCTGTGAGGTGGCCCCATAGAGGCCACCCCACTGTAGCAGCCCAGCCCCCCATGGCAGCTCCACTTCCCTCTGCTGAGCCAGCTTGCCTGTTGCAGCCCCCCTTTGGCTCTCTGCAGAAGGCCTGACCCTTCCAGATCTGACCTTCCCCAGAACACACATTTCCTCTGGGGAGCCACTCCGAGGGAGTGGTGGTGGGTGTCACCATCGGAGTCACACAGCCCTGAATTCGATTCCCATGTCTGCCTCTTGCAAACTGAGGACATTCAGCGATTTGACCTAGCCGATCCCATTTTTGTAAGATTGGCGCAATGTGATGACCGTCCAGCCTCTAGGGTTTTGTGGGAGAGCCGAGCGGTGAGTGTGTGCTATTGCAATTATTCCTAGAAAAGATACCACGTCATTGCTTATTTGTTACCTGCAGAAGAAACTGTCAGAGCTGCAGCTTGCTCCATCCCCTGGGGAGAGACCCCACTGCTGTTTCGTAGGGCTCAGTCAGATGCCAGTTTGGGGGAAAGCACTGACTCACAGTATAAAAGAAAGTGTCCAGGCCCAGGCCAGATGTGTGTTGTCATGAAAGACACCATGTGGGGACATGGGGAGGTAAGGGACCAAACAGCTTTGGCCCTTGCTGTTTGGGCTCCCTGTCTATAGCTTATAACTGGCCCCCAGTTTGCCCAGCTCCCAGCCCTTGGCATGGGGAATGGCATGAGGTGGTAGATGCTTGTGAAAGTTTGTCGGCTCAAATTGAATAAGAAATCTCTGCAGTAGGACCAACCATGGAGTTTTCAAGAAACAAAATCAGGACGGTGTTTATTTCTGGGGCTCCCTGTTTCCATCTTTTGAACAAAGATCTTGAGCGTCCTTCTCTCCATGTCACCTGAATTCCACTCCTGACGGTTCAAGCAGTAATGCAAACCCTCTCCCAGAGGGGGGCCTGCGACGCAACCAGCTAATTATGGGGGTCGGTTGGTGGTGCGGAAAGCAGTGAGGTCCTGGGGTCAGACAGATTTGTGTTCAAGTGCAGGGCCCACCACTTACTAGCTGTGTGACCTTGAGCAGGTTACTTAGCATCACTGAACTGGGTATTATGGGCTTGTGGACCTCTGTCCCCTCCTAGGTGCAAGGTGATGTAATCATCCACTTTTAAAGGTACCATCCTTTCTTCACTCCTTGGGCTGCCAGTGCAAACTCTTCAGGGAGTTTAGGCTATGGTAGCGAATCTAGAAGCTGTATAAGAACCATTAGTGAATAAACCTGTTGGGCATGAGACAATAGGGAAAGGCGGGGAGTGTGGAGAATGTGTGAGCACCTGTCTCATTCAAAGTGGTCAGCAGCTGGTCAGCTTTAGCCTACATTTATTATGTTAGCATGCAGTCCAGAAGCTGACAGGTTTTCCAATATTTCAAAAGAAGCATCAGGCCTAGATTTTTAAATAAAATCTCCAGATTTTTAAACAATTGGCATGTTTGCCTGCCGATTATAGAGAGCTGCCAGATTCCTGCTTAAAGATTTGCAAAATGGGCAGTAAGCCAGCCAAGGAGTCTGCTTACCTGGCCGTGTTTCTGCAGAAATTTAGAGAAAGCGGGCAATCGTGAAGCCATGTTATAAGCCTTCAAGACATTGACATTGTTAAGGTCCCTGAAAACGGCTATAAGAAAAATAAAATAAAACGGGCAGGAGATGGTAGCAGGGAATGCGGGAAGCAACATCACCAATGACTCTCAGCAAATGGTTGCACCACTGTCTGCGGGCACCAGGGGGCAGTAATTCACCTGGCATCACTTCCCCCATTCAGTGCCCAAGTGAGGAGAGAGCACTCAATTTTCTCGCTGGATGTTGTCTGCATTCAGTTGTGTTAAATGCACAAAATATGGTCCCGGAAACGATATTGAAAAGTTGTTTTTCTTCCTCTTAAGTTTCTGTACTGGGTGGAAATTGCCTCCCAGTGGTCCATGGAGGATTTTTCTAAAAGCTAACCTTGACACTTGACAGAGAACCTAAGAAAGTGGCTGCATGGGAAATGTGTTCATTATGCAAAACAAAACGAAACCCTTCCGCATCTTTAAGAAACAGCATTCAAGCACGTCTTGGTGGCAGAGGCAGATTAGAGTGCTGAGAAAACCCCGAACCCCCAATTGCGGCCATATTGCATTGGGGTGGTTCCAGGACGACTCGCCTGTGTTCAGAAGAAGATATACCCTACTGGTCCTCTCTCTCTTCATTCCCAGGCTCTTCTCATTTCCCAGCCTGTTTGGATGTTTCTTTTTCCTCCTTCTAACTTAAAGATGCTGCAGAAGAGACTCCAGCAGCCCTCCCTCCTGACTACTAAAACTCCTTATTAGGCATACCCGGTGCGGTCAGCTTCAGCTTTCAAAGCACCGCCAAGAGACAGAGTTTGGGGGACCCTGTGTGGGTGTCCCTGGGCTCATGCCCTGGACTCAGAGTGTTCCACGTTGTTAAATAGCCAACTGCTCTATTTCTTAAAAGCTAGACGGATCCTTAAAGATAAAATAGAAGGCACAAGTAACAGGAAGAAACATACCCATGCACGTCTGTACTGGATATTTTTCTATGCACATTTATTTTTAAATGTGCAATATTTCAGACATGCAGAAGGCATAGCCAATACAGTGGGTACCTGGGTGCCTGCCACCCAGTTTTAAAAAATTCCTTATTGTCTTCCCAGTGCACTGAAGCTCCAGGGCAGCCCCTCCCCCTGTTACATTCCCATCCCTCCCTCGCAGAGGTAACCTCCAGCTTGAACTTGATGCTTATTACATGCATGCATGGCCTTTTGCTTTTACCAACATGTGTGTATTTCTAAATAATATATAGCCATGCTCTGCATATTTCCACATGTTCTGTATACTCTATCCTCCTGCATTCATGGGGCGTGGTTCAGCATTACATTTTAGAGATTTATATCCATGTTAATACACTTAGTTCTGCTACATTAATTTTACACTGCTGTGTAGTATTCCATTTGGTATTTATTTCCCATTTACCTACGGATGGGCAGGCAGGGGACCCTTTCCAGTCCTTCCCTATTATGAATAGCACTGCAGTGAAATTCTTGTCTGACTCTGGCACACGCGTGAGAGTTTCTGTAGGGCAGAGTTCCTCAAAGACTCACCCGGGGGCCCTTAAACGAACACCCAGACCTGGGCTCACTCCAGACCAATGAAGTCCTCCAGACTCTCTGATCTTCCTGTATCTTGGCTCTAGGTGGAAATAATCATACTTGTCACATTATCTCATTATTGGGAGCGGTAACTACCATTTATTAAGCACTTACTGTGCACTAAATGATTTATATGTGTTAGTTTATTGGATTTTTGTAACCGTGCCAGGAAGCAGGTATGATTAAACCCAGCATATGGCAGATGACAATGAGGTTCAGGAGAAGTTAGGTAATTGGCCTGAGGTCACACAACAAGTAAATAGTAGAGTCAGGGTTCAAAACCAGTCTTCTTGACTCAAAACTTTTGTTTTTAACCATTATGAGACACTATGATTTCAGAGCTGACCGGTTACATTTTGATTTGTCTGCTTTGCAAGTGGGGACACTGAGGTGGGTAGAGGGCAAGACAGGGCCAGGACACAAACCCAAGTCTCTGAAGCCCCTACCCATCAACACGTCACTTTCT